CGAGGATGGGATTCGAACCCACGCGTGCAGAGCACATTGGATTAGCAGTCCAACGCCTTAACCTCTCGGCCACCTCGTCACTTGTCAGAGCTTCTGCGCAAGACCTAATTTCCAATAAACTTTTTGTAGTTCTTATCAAAGAACCCATATAGAAGCAACGGATTTGCAACTATTGAAATATTAACAGATATGATATACTTACACTTCCAAAAAAGATTACAATATACAATAATACGCTACCCCGGAAGTGTTTTCTCTGTATAAGTATTAATTCTTTAATTGTTTGTTTAAGAATTGTGTCAATGAAAAGGGGCAAACAAAGTGAATAAGCATTTTGCAAAGTATTTGTCTGTTTGCGGTTAAAGAAAGTAGCCAAGTAGTGGCTCGTGTGGGGGGGACCACAACTTAAGTGAAGCTTAAGATCCTACGATGTTCTACATATATGTACATATCTATATGAATGGGTAGATAGGTTTGGGCTAGATAGATTGGCAGGATTAGACTTGCAAAACTTAGAATCTTATACGACTTTGTTTACCATTTTTAATGTAAAATAAAGAAAAATTATCAAAGGGCTTGCTAATATCCATCTCAAAGTCTGACTTAGATCATAATTTTAATTGTGAAGCTGGGGAAAAATCTTGAATAACTTGAATCCAAAGCTTATAGGGTATTTTCCCATCCAATCGACCAGCTTTGAGCGCTCCTCGCACTCCATCAGTTATGTTATTCGTAGAGTAATTTGTTTGCTCAGCCATTCTCTGGAGGGCGACGTTCGAAGGGGTTTTCAATAATTCTCGGATTCTCTGCTGGCGATCGTGCTGCCTCCTGACCCAGTTCTCTGTTGATCTTCTGTCGTGGATTTCTTTTTATATCTCTCCTCTTTTTTTGTTTTTGTTTTTTTTTTTCTTCTCTGTCCAAAGTTTGGTGTAAAAAACAAAAGTGGTTTACTTTAGATGAGCCACGCTCGAGCAAGTGTGTCGGGGGGGCCCATTGGTTGTGGTTTTAGTGGTGCTGCTGCTGCTGGTACCAGTTCTGATGATGATTTAATATGAGACAGCTTCTACTTTTTTAAATATTCGCAGCTATGGCATTCGCAGATATTGGGCCTAGACCATTCCATTCTTGTGTCATCCAGCTGTCAGTTGGTGTTAATGAACCCTTGTCGCCCAGATAGCTTTTAGTTGTTTACGTTCCGAATGCCTATACGGATGCAGCGATACAGCCAAACGCCAGCATTGTCACCTAACGTGTGTCGCCTTCGGGTTCGTTAGGAAATGGGCCCAGGTTTTGATGATCCAAAGGCACGCGCGTTTTATATTTAGCCCCACACCAAGACAGTGTACGAGTGCAGTGAGTGGAGTCTCCAGTACGGGGCTAGTCACGTGCACAAGGACATTCCAAGGCTAATTACGTTGGCTTGTTGCAGGCCTCTTGGCCAGGCCAGGCCTGGACCCAACCGAACCGAACCGACTTGGGCTTGGTTTTGTTTTGGCTTTAATACGAGACGAGTGCTGTGCTGCAACAAACTCGTACAACACGAACCGTTCATTATTGTCGTTCGTCGCTGCTGTTCGTTGCTTGTACGGCTGCTGCTCGTACTTGCTGCAATCTGCGGCATGTATCTGTATCTTTTGCATCTGCGTGGTTGGTTGTCTCTCCAGCACCACTGCAGTGTGGCTGCTGCAGTGGCAGCCGCCGCTTAATTAGCTGCGTAATTTATTATTGGTCTAATCTCAACGCCAGCGCCGGCGCCAATGCCGCTGGCTTTGACAAATAAACAAATTATTCATATTAGAATATGTATTAATAATGCCTGCCAGCGTCAGCGGCGGCGGCGGCGGCGGCGTCGGCTCCAAGATGGTTTATCTGCTCATCTGGAATATCAACATAATTATGCATCTCTGGCAGAAAGAGTAGAGTGATGTGATGTGGCATCCCCTGCTCCCCTGCTCCCCTGCTGCTCTGCGTGCTGGTGCCACAACTATTCTATGACTGGCATTACTTAATCGTTGTGCGGACAATAAAGATGCACACTAAATATGCATGTTCCTGCAATCGCACAATTATGCCCAATTATGCCACTGGGAAGAGATCTTTAGCAGGAGCAACAGGTGCTTGAGCGCTGGAATGCCAGGCGGATATCATTGGCTAATGAGCCGCGCTCCAACTTCAACTTCAACTCCAACTCTAGATTGTTGTTCCTACTGCTGTTGTCTGTCATAAAAATTAAAATGCATAATCGCGGGCGTTCCGCAGAGGGCGCTTGTTATGTTATGGGCCCCAGACCTTAGATGATCGTACACATGTTGCCTTCCATGGTAATTAACATTGCTCGCGATTACTTTTTCTGCCATTTTTTGTCTGCCCTTTGCAACAATTGCATGTGCATGCTGAAAATGTGATATTGCCACTTGCCGCTGGCTTGGCTGGGCTTTGCTTGGGTTGGCTTGGGTTCGATGGGCAGGACGGAGATGACGGGGCAACCAGGTCTCGGGTCCCGGGCCATTCACATTTGAGGCTAATTAAGCTGGCGTTTAAGCCGCTAGCAATTAGCCGATTTATCACTTTCCACAGAGCCACCAAATCATAGGGAAAAAGGCGTTGGGAACAGCATTTGCAAATGCAAACAAAACCCTCTCTGCTTTGAGCCACAAATGCTGCACCTCAATGGCACCTCAGCGGCTTTGACTTATTCTGCGCAGCCGCAGCCAGTGGCCTGCGCGACGCAGACTGCGACTGAGAACGAGCAGAATCCAGCAGGCCTGATCCACCATATAAAGCGCGAATTCTGGCCGCGATCAAACTCATTTTCAGTTGAACGCGCCTGCTGTGCAGTCTGGACCAAACTTTTGTTGCCCATCACCGCACAGGACTTGGACTCCGGATCTTGATCCTGTTACACAGCTGAAGATCTCCGTACTAATTGGTGAGCACAGAGTAAACGTGAAGAAAGTGTCAAGTGAAGAGTGATGCAAGACAGAGGGCCAGAAGAGCCAATGTCCCAAGCTAATAATAATTAAGTATTCGCGTTGATAAAGAAGATTGTTTTGACAAATTGAGGATAAACTTATTTGAACTTCTAAATCTCGGAGACTTACTTACCATAAAAGTGTTAGGTCCAGCGATGATTTGAATTAAGTGGCTGAAGGAAACAGTTCCGATCAAAGCATTCTCAATCCCTAATGTAAATAAGGATGTTCAACTATCTGTCTTCTGAGCTTTGAGTTGTTCCACCTAACAAAGGTATTCCTTCAATTAATTGTAGCGTAAATTAAAAATTATATGCCTCTTAAAGATTGGCTAAATATTGCAGCTAGAAACTTAGCTGGTGCTCAAGTTTTTGATATCTTTTAGATGCACATCTCCCTCTGTCTCGGGTGTAAAGCTCTTCCCATTTCCAGTAGCGCCGCAGCGAGTCTCAACAAGCTCTCAAGCTAATCTAATTTTCTGGCCATATTTCTTCGTTGTCTGCACTTGTCGTGGGGTTGGGGGGTTGCGCTCGTTGCGCAATGCGAGTGTGAGAAAATGCCCCGAGGCATGCAAATCGAAATGAGATCGGGTGAAGATCAGCTCAGCGGTTCACTTAACCACCAACCAATCCCATGATCGTTTTACAGCTACTATCAGCAATGGGCCACCAGCACATTTGGGGCATTCTCCTGAGCATGTTGCTGCTGGAACAGATGTTGGCGCTGTCCGCAGCGGCCAATCTCGGGCAGCTGGTGAAGAAGCAGAGCCAACAGAAGCAACAGGGGCAGGTGTCGCAGACAGCGCAGCTGCAGCAGCTGCCGCAGCAACAGGTGCACGCCCAGCAGTATGTGCAGGATGCGCTCGCCGAGTCGCAGGAGCTGAAGAGCGACGAGGAGGAGGACCATGATCCCTACCAGATGCTGCAGGAGGGCAAACAGGAGTCCCGGCTGCCAGCCTCCTCCAACTACCCCTGGAGCGCCTATGCGGGCGCACAGGGAATGGCGAATCCCTATGAGAGCGTGCCCAAAATGATGCCCTTCATTGGCTACGCCCAGCCCGTGCTCATCCCATTTCCGCTCTACATAGCCCCCGATATGTTCTATCCCGCCTTCCCTGGGGCCACCAACGACCTCGAGGATGTGGTTATGTCGCGTGCCGCTGGCGGACGTCGTCCGGCTGCACCCCATTCATCGTCTCCGGCCCGGAACTCGCCCATCTACTACGTCCGCCTGCCGCCCACGCCGTACATGTTCGTCCCGAACATGCCGCCGAATCCCTTCGGCAATGGCGGCTTCTCCCCGCTGCTCACCTACCAGCCGATGCCCTCGTTCTCCACCTTCGGGTCCGTGTTCAATCTGCCCGTCAATTTCCTGGCCAACGGCAAGCCCAGCGGGATCTACCAGGTGAATGGATCGCCCAGCCCGGATCTGGGACAGTTGGCACCCGGCTACGGCCTGCGCCCGCCCACGCCCAGCAATCCCTTCCGGCCCATGTCCGCTCCGGCCGCCGGCTACGGACCCTCTCAGCAGGGCTTCGGACTCGCCTCCCTGCCAGTGCCGCAGCACGACTCCAAGCTGACCTCGCTGAAGCGTCCCTTCGTGTTCAACGGCCGTCCCGAGGACATCTACATCCTGCCCAACAACCTGAGTCCGCTGTACAACGATCAGAGCTACTACTGAGTGCAGCAGCTCACAGTCTGCCCCAGGCTGTGGCACCAACGGAAAGTATTATAGAACGCATTTATTAGATAGTAAGATGACATAAAATTTGAAATTAAAAAATTCTAAAAATGACCACATAATAAAATGTGCCTTAAGAATTGTTTTTTACTGGGAAAATGTACTAGACAATATTCAGATAAAAGTAAAATGGATTTAATGGAATCTAAAATATAGATTCTATATACAGAAAAGCGTTGGAAGAATATAAGATGTTCCTTTATGCTTTCCTTATTGTTAGTTTCGAAATGAAAACCCATTAAAAGCATTTCCATTCGAGAAACTAAACGAACAATAAATGTAAGTCTTGCTTATCTTTTGTATTTATTTAATTGTATATTTTTGGTCGAAAATATAGTGTGTATATGTAGGTATAAATTATGGTTTAAATATCGATTATGTATACATATACAGTGGAACTACGCTAACTGCAAGAGCCTTCTGTGTAGATTCAGAATGATTCACGGTCTATATTAAAGTCTCGCTAATTTTAATCACCGATGGCTGCCACCTGGGCAGTCTTCTTCTTGATATACTCCGGATCACCGAGATTGACGGCGCCCCCAAGCAGCTCCCCAGTCTTCATGTTGAATTCGTACACCCGGGGAATGCAGTTGGGAATGTTTACCTTCTGGATGGCCTCTTTGGAGATACCTGCGGCGAATGGACAAATGATTGTTGGGATTTAGGCAACTACCGGAAGTACTCACCTTCAATGTGCTTGACCAGGGCCCGGGTAACCGTTCCATGTACACAGATCAAGACCCTAGTGCCGTTGAGTACCTCCTGCTTGATCTCCTGCCACACGGGCTCCACGCGATCCACACACATGCCAAGGGACTCTGTCAGCGGGAACTGACCCGCCGGCACATCATCGAAGATGTGATTGTTTCGGATCGTGTAGTAATACCGATTTTCCAAATTAATGGCTGGTGGCACGTCATCGTAGCCGCGTCGCCAGGCCTGAACCTGATCCTCGCCATAGATATTCGCTATCTCACGCTTGCCAAAGCCCGTCAGATTCCCATAGTGCCGCTCGCACAATCGCCAGTCGGCCTTCACTGGCACATGGGCGCGATCCATATTGCTCAGTATCAGATCGGCGGTTTTTTTGGAGCGATCCAACACCGATGTGTACACCACATCGAAATCCAGTTGCGACTCGAGGAGCGCTGGGGTGGCCACCATGCAGGCCTCACGTTCACCTGGTTGGAAATGATGATGGAACTCGATTAGTATTATAGATCGTAGATCGTATTCGTATCACAGCTACCGTTCTCAGTGAGTGGCGCATCGTGCCAGCCGCAGAATTTGTTCTCCAGATTGAACTCGCTCTCACCGTGCCGCAGCAACACCAGACGATTCGTCTTCATCATGTACTGGGAACTGCAATGGAAATGGATTATTTTGTTAAATTAATTCCTTCGAATGAGCCCGATAGAACTGAGTTTTATTTCTCCTGGCGATGTGCTTCTGGTGTTTGGCTGATTTATCTCTAGCTGTGTTCCCTACTACAAGTACTATATCCATTATAAGGCTGCTTGATAATGCAGCTCAACAGATTAGTTGATGAGTGTTGGAGTATTGGGTGGGGGTGGTCCAAATCCTAATCTACCTCATGACTGGAGATAACGGTAGCTAAGTCGCGCTGGAGAATTTGAATGTGTGTGTGTGTGTTCACCTCAGCGCTGTCTATGCGATTGTTTTCGTTGCCGATGCCGATGCCAGTGCTGGGCTGGGCTGGACTCACACTCACGCGGCGGCGGCGGCAGCGGCGGCTCAGAAACCCCGACGAACGAACGACCGACAAGACAACAAGACGCGCATTCCGCACATATTTTCGGCTAGTGTACGAACGATAGTATCTGAAAGATACAAAACAAGAAGCGAGAGAAAAACGCGCGCTCCCAGAACATGACGAGACAAAACAGAATATAATTCGCATTATCTGATGTCCAGACAGCGGCAGCCAAACATACGCACACACACACGCACACGGCATTGTATACACCTTTTGCCCTCCCTCCCGTCTTTGCTTTTCGGTTCGCTTCGTTCATCTTCCTTTGTTTTGCTCGGCTCATTCTTCTCTCCAGTACGTGTTGCTGTTTTCCTGCATTCCATATTCGCATTCGAATAGATAGGTTTAATCGTGCCCGCGCCTAATTCTTGGCCCATCAATGGTACTCCAGCAACCGCCTTTCATGTGACCTTGATTCATTTGAGTCAATTCACGTTTTGTTTTTCGTTTCCATTTCCACAAACTTTTCATTCGTAGAAGACAATTTTTCTAATTTCACTTTCCAGAAAAAAACTTCCAAATGAACGCAGATTATAAAAAATACGTACATATTCTTGTGGATACAGCAAATAATGCTTGTCTACAAACACTGACCAGAGAGGTGACTATTTTCGTGTGATATAACAAAAAGAGAACAATAGAATTAAATCTAAATAGATTATAGAAATATAAATAGAACAAATCTGAACAAAAAAGAACCGGCTAGAGTCTATAGTAATCTTACCCCTGAAACATGTCATTGTTGGAATTATCAATGAAAATCAATATCAAAAGCAGGGGCTGGAATACCATTCATCTATTCTATCACTTATCCCCAATACTTACGCTTGGAACGCATGTTTATTGTTGTATTATTGTATTGTTGTGCTGTTGTTTGTTGTTGGTCGATTGTTACTAATTTGACGGATTTGTTTGCGGATACGTTACAGTTTGTTTTGCAAGAACTTCAAGATAGCCATTGTTCCGCCCGTTCCTGTCCAGCTTCTCTACTTCCTACAGTTTTCTGCTACTGCTGCTGCTGCCTCTTCTGCCGGCGCTTTGTACTAAGAAAAAATGCCTATTGGCAAACAATTGCTGATGTCGATGCGTCGAAACTCTCACTGGCAGTCGGTCGACAGCTGATGCTCTCTTGCACTGATTGCACTCGCACTCTGATTGCACTGCTTTGCGAACAGCTGCGATTGGAAAATCAATATTAACTGCAATTTAACTTTAAAAATAAATGATAATCAAACGCGGGCTCATGTTGTTATCTGCCAGTTGTAATAAATTTGGAAAAATTTTGTTTAGATATGATTTACCAGGCCTACTTAGTATTAAAATTTAATCGGAAAAACACATATGCTTTAGTCTCTAAGCTCTTAAATTCGATCCTCAAAAGACCTGCTATAAATTAAACCGTTTACTACATAAAAGCCAGCGAGAAATGTAGAGAATATTAAGATCGCGAAATTATATCCTCAGATAAGGTATATTAATGGAAAAGGGTTTCAGCACTATTTATTTTGTTTTTTGAATTTCAGATTTCTTTGCAGTAAAAGTCTGTTAAACTACCAACTTTCAAAATATACGTTTACTCCGCACTACGAACGGCAACTTTCTGCTTCAATTATTGCTATGAAAAAAAGCTCTTTCACACAGAGCAGCTCTTTATAACAAAAACTCTGGATATCAAATAAGCCTGCAAGCGAAATGATTAAAATAAATGCAGCTGAAAGCTGTTGGCAATACGCTTATGTTTCGAAAGTTATGCCATTATTTTGCACCATATGTATAATTTGTATTAATTGTAAAAGAACCTGCTGAAAAGGTTGTGCAACAGCCAAACTTAATTTACTCTGCCCTTCTGCCCACAACGATGATTTAACAAATTAAAAGAGGAACTCAAGAAGTCATAAAAATCGCAACTATTCCATGTGCATAATGTAATTGTAATTCTTTCTCTGACCTTGAAATATTTTAAATCAGTTTTCTGTTATCTTTTTTAGCTAATTGAAAATGTCCAATATCCAGATATTATATGATTTATACAAACAAAATATGAATTGGTATTGCCATGTCTCACAATCTCCAGACTGACTTTTTACTGTCTTCAGTAGATTTTGTAAACAACATTTTTATTCCCATTGATTTCTGTAAAATATAATACTCATTCATCTCTCTTTATGTATCATCATTATGATTATGATTATTTATTTCATCTGCTGTATCCCACATTACCCCTCTCTCTCCCCATTATCTCGGTTGAACAAAGTCTTTAGGTTACGGCACCGACTACCAGAGGTATAAGCCCGTCGAGACCAGATAACCATCTCCTCGAGAGCTGCTACTGCTGCTCCGTCGAGCGTTTGACAATGTTGCTCTCAGTGGAGGCCCTTTTGGTCCGCCAGTATAAAGGTTTTGGCCAACTCTGGCCATGGCTCAGTCTGCAGAGAAACGTGCGTGGATATCTTTGGTGTGGTACGGATCGTGTCTTGAGTCTAGTATCTATCAGTGGTGTGTGCGTGGGTGGGTGGAAAATGCATTTTCCTGCTTTTGATGACTTCTATCAGCGACTTCTGTTTCTGCTGCCATTTGCCACAAGTGAGTATTGATGCATTGGAAACGGAATAATCATAACGGATGTGTCTGCAAATCAACCAAGTGTAACCAAAGAATAGATACGTATCTGCAAGAGATTGCCGATTCTGCAGTGGATCTCCTTGATATTGAGACGCCAGACAACGATCGAAGCCGATATCTACCATCTCCATCCCCCTTCCCCCGTGGTGGGCGCTGAAGCATAAGAGACATGACCACTGTCTATCCCCCCACCACCGTCCATTTTTAGGCCTAGCCCTAGGCAATTGTGATTGCGTAGCTACGCAGACGGTCTGGGTCTGGGGAGAGGAATTTATGAGCCATCTCCAGGCCAAAGTGTGCTGAACCCTCGTGTGTCACACTCAACGCCCATATAACTGACGGATCTCGCATCGTCTAATGGATAGCAAACAATCCGGTGGCTTGTAAATAATAATAATAATTAAATTTGCATGCCCAATTGCTCCACGAAAGCCAATGAGCGCGTCAATCGCGCAGGCGGAGTAGTAGATGTCGCAGTCGTAGTCGTAGTCGAACCCACAGATGCAAGATGGGTGAAGATGGGTGGCGTTTCATTGTTATAAAACCGGCCGCGAAACAATGTAAAGAAACGAAAAGGAATGCCCATAATCTGCCCCCAAAATAAAGCAATTAAGCCTCACTTAAAGCTAAATCAGCGACTCTGCGAAATGGCTGGTGAGGAAATGGCGCTGAGAGACTTCCAAATCGCTTGCCAAGTGACCAGGCCACAGCAAAGATTACAAACATAATGGAAGCAGTAGCAGTAGATTGCAGTGACCAATGGATGATAAATATAGCGATCAGATGATGAATATAAATCTTCATGCTAATGGGAATATTTATAATTCAACTGAGAGATATTTTCCTTGTAGATTTTGGTATTCCAGAGCGCAGCTTCACATACAATGCACCCCATGAGTGGAAGGACACGTTTCCCCAGTGTGGCGGCGCAGAGCAGTCACCGATTGCCATCAGTAGGCACAAGGTGATACCCATTGGCCTGCCTCCCTTGCATTTCTTTCGATACGACGAGCCCTTCGATCAGCTCTTGAGCGTACACAACAATGGACACACAGGCAAGCAAAATGATTTATAGCGAAATCCACTCGAATTATGTAAATTTTAGTTCATTTTTCCGTACCTACGACTGTGTTTGGGGAGCGTCCCAGTGTGACTGGCGGTTTGCTGCAGGACTTTTACGAGGCCCGGGACGTACACTTCCACTGGGGCTCGCAGCAGAGCAAGGGTTCGGAGCATTTGCTCAATGGCCGGCGCTACGATCTGGAAATGCATATTGTGCATCGCAACACCAAGTACATCAGCGATGAGGAGGCGCGCAACAACACCGACGGTCTGGCTGTGCTGGCAGTGCTCTTCAAGGTGGTGCGGGTGAGTGAGGAGCAGCGAGCAGCACGGGGCTGTCACGGGGCTCGAAAAACTAATGCCAAAACCATTATCCAACGGCAGACAGGACCCACCTTCTACCAGCCAGGACTCAATGAGATATTTGGTTCGCTGCTGCACCTGGGCGACTTCAACAGCACCTATGCACCTCCAGTTCTGATCACACTCGAATCGCTCTTGAGCAATCTGGATCGGGGCAACTTTTACAGCTACAAGGGTTCGCTGACGACGCCGCCCTGCTCCCCCGCCGTGCTGTGGCACGTGTTTGCCGAGGTGCTGCCCATCTCCTACCAGGATCTGCCAAAATTCTGGCAGCTACGCAACCGCCAAGGCCGACCATTGCTCAACAATTTCCGGCCACTGCAGTCGCAGGAGACGCGACAAATCTTCCATCGACGGCCAGCGGATCAGCAGCTGCTCTGGTTATAGCTAAAATAATTAAAGATAATTGTATATAAATCTATACTTTATTTGGGAAGAGATCGTTGGCGTCATTCAGTTCGCATCTGGTCTATTTATGGCCATTTCTGAAGCGAGCCAGGAGCCTGGCCAGCAGCCCAAGCTGGACGGCGCAGAGGAGTTTGTTCAGTGCTGGGCATCGAGGCAGAAGCCCCAATGGCAGTTGTTGTGCCGGGCGCGAGATAAACTTCATCTGTCGGGGCTGGTGCAACACGATGGCCAAATGCTTAAGCTGGTTGCCAGCTCTCAGCGTCGCCTGCTCCGGCTTCCGTATTGCCACGGGCCAGTTTAGACAGGGCGCAATGCAACAGCTCGCTGGCATGACCTGGGTGTGGTACTCGCGTTCTCGACCGTCGAAGGGTGGACGCGGTATGCGGACACGAGGATTGAGTGGGGGATTGAAGGGCGGCTTGACCACCACCTTGCGACGCGACTGATGCCTGTTGGACCTCCGCCTCGCAAGGTCGTGCTCGAGACTGGTATCCATCGGCGGATTGGACTGCAGGTCGGGCTCCTTTAGGAAGGGATTCTTACCCTTGTAGCCAACTTTCTTTTCCTGATCATTGCGCAGCTTGTTTCGCAGCTTCTTGGTCACCTCGTCCGCCTTCATCTGCTCTTGCTCCTTCGGCGTTTCCTGGCTTCCAGCTGGTTTCTCCGTCTTGGCTGTCGTGTTGTCTCCCCTTGCGGCTCTTGGATAATCCACCCATTCATAAGAGTGCATCTGCTTTTGCTCCTGTCGCTCCTTCGGATGTTCCTGGGCAGCAGGTTTCTCTGTCTTGGCTGTCGATGGTGTCGTTTTGTCCTGCGTTGCGGCTCTTGGATCATCCAACCATTCATAGTAGTTCATCTGCTTTTGCTCCTGTCGCTCCTTCGGGTGTTCCTGGGCAGCAGGTTTCTCAGTCTTGGCTGTCGATGGTGGTGTGTTGTCCTCAGGAGCAGGTTTAGGCTCTTGTGTTGCGACCCTTGGATCATTCACCAATTCATATGCGTGCTCCCGTTGATTCTGATGGGACTTTGGTGTCGATTTCTTCAAGATAGGCAACGGCTTATATCGTTCCACTTTAATTGTTGGTGGCTCTACCTTCTTGGTGGGTTTCGGTTTTTTGCCTCTCGTCAAGAAATGCGGCATGAATTTTTTCACATCAATTGTTGGAGCCTCTGCCTGCTTTATGGCCTGCTGATCGCCTGGTGATGGCGGTTTGGATACATCTATGGTTGCTGGTGGGATATCCACGGCTCCTTTCTGGCCGCGCGCTGCCTTCAAACTCTCATCTGTTTGTTGTGGTGCTGGTGGCTCCGTATCAGCGTTGAACTGGATGGGCAAGTCCTTGCGGTGTGGCTGCAGCTCCTGGGGCGTGAGCGGCAGTGTCTGCGGCGATGGTGGTGGAATCGTACGCGGTGTAACCTGAAACTGGGGCGAGCCTTCGGCAATTTTCTGACGTTTGGGCATTGGCGGAGGCGCCTTTGCCGGCGTTTGCTTTGGCGCAGGCATTGGCGTCTGCGGCTGTTGGGTATCACGTTTCTTTTGGCCAGTCACAGGATCGAGGGCCAGTGGCTTAGCCTCGACGGATTCATGGCTCTCAACGGAATTGCCAGAAGCCTCGGGCCCACGGGGTGCCTCTTCCATATGCTGCTGGAATATGTCTTGCAGCCGCTCGTTGAGCATCTCGAGCTTCTGCTGGTCACTTTTCTTGTTCACGTAATACTCCGACAAACGCTCGTCCCCGTCCACTGGCTTGCTTTCGGTTTCCGGAGTTTCTTTGTTGTGCAGCCAATCCCATTCGTGTTCGCCCTTGCCGGTGGTAGGTGTCGGCGTCGTCGTGTGCCCCTTGCCATCCTTCTTGTCGAAGCTAAAGAAACGCAGGTTGGCTTCATCGGGGCTCTGGTGTGGTTTCTTTTGACCCCTCTTTGCTGGCCTCTGACCATCGTTCTCCCGCTCTTCTGCCAGCACCTTTATACTGTCTGCCACTTCCTCATCCCCAGGGACCAGCTCCTGCTTGCCTTCTCCCTCGTTCTTCAACAAAATGCTGGTACCTTCCATCTGTTCTGCCAACTCGAGTTTCTGCTCATGATGGTGCTGCAATTCACGTCTGATCAGCTCCTCAGCACTAAGATACATATTCTCTTCGGTCTGTGCGTGTTTCGGTGGTCTTTCCTCCGCCTCCACTTGCTTCCACTTCTCAAAGTTCTCTTCCGTCAGGCTGTCCCTGTCTTTCTGTTCCCTGGCTGCCGCCTTGTTGTCCTCCATGGACTCTGACACTTCAACGTCCTCTGTCTGTTCATGCGGATTATCTTCGGCGCAAATCTGAAGATTCTGTAAAGGTTTAGGGGGAGACATGTACCGCCAGGTTTGCGTATATTGTTGCCCGGTCTCAGTGTCATCAATTCTGGATAGCCTGTCCTTCTTCGACTTTGTCAGTAAAATTGACTCGAAACGTTCTTTGTCCTCGAGACTGTTGAAAACAAATTTATGCTCAGGCCCAGCTTCTGGCTCCTGCTCTGAGGCGACTTTAAGCTCATGACTATTTTCGTCTTGGTCTTTCACAGGCTCCTCGCGCTTCTGGTTTTCATGGTCTTCAGGAGTACGGGAAATGGTTGCCTCGCCAGGTTTGGTCTGCTCATGTTCCAGAGTTTCGGCTTGCTTCAAATTGGCGTTTTCCGTTGGACTTTTTGGGTTTTGTTGCTGCGTGTTTTCCTTGACATTCGAAGTTTCAGCTTTGCTTGCCTTATCCACATCGGTTTTGTTTTGTTTCCCAGGTTCCTCCGATGCATTGTCATTTTTCTTGGACTCGGGCGTAGAATCTTCCCTACCTTTAGAGGTAAAAGCCTCGATTTGTTGTCGTATTTCTTTGGTGTATGCCAACGATGGCTTTACTAGTTTTTTGGGAAAAACTTCGTCACCGTTTTGATTGGCCTTCGAAGAAGCTGTGATAGCTGCTTCATTTTGTTTCCCCGTCATGGGCTTTATATTCAGGGCCTGGAACGTGTTGATGTACGGCCTGGGGCGCATCTCCACGGATTCATCTACAGCTTTCACTTTTTTCGTTTTCGTATCCTGGAATGGCGGTGGTGATTCGCCCTTGGTGCCTTTGTTGCCTTTGTCGTCGCTCCCTGTGATCATTGGTGGTGGCTGATCCCTTAGCCAGGTTTTGTCAACAGGCAACTCCTTCTTGGTTTTTTCTGTCAACTTTTCAGCATCCGAATGCTCAGTAAATCCGATGCTGCCTTGGCCCTCATCGGAACCCGTGGTGGAGCCGACAATGTTGTCGTTTTCTCCAGAGCCCTGAGTCCCGGAGGCAACGGTGGGTCTAGTGGAGTCGCTGGACTCCAGCCAACAACTTATCTGTAGTCCCTTCTGTTCATTTACTTGCCAGGGATCGGTCGGTGGCTGCCTTTTGCCTTGGTTTGCATTATAGACCGAATTCCAGCTGCCGTTTTCCTGCAGTTCCCGAAAGCTTTTCTTTTTTACCGTCTCAGCCAGGGCCTTTTCCAAGGCCGCTATAGGTTCGGGCCGTTGTTCCAATACTTTCTCGAGACTATCATCCATGGTAATCACTTGGGACAGGAATTGTGAAAAGGATAAGCTGCTGCTAGGGATAAGGGAAGATGAACATGCGGCCAGTCAACATATGTGGATGTACTCCGCCTACCTCAGGTCTGGGTGAGTGCGCAGTGTGTCCAGTATTGTCTCCGGGTCCACCTCGTTCTGGCAGATTTGGTGTATGGCCGTAAAGAGGGGAAATCTGTGGGTGGCGCACATGATGGTTAAAATCTGTTCGTTCAAGGGCCACGGAGGGCCACGGGGGGCCACTCACTCATCCTGCATGTCCTGCTCCTCCAGAAAGGCGTTCAGCTCGGCGGCCACCAAGGGGCCGAGCAGCTTGCGGCCATTTAACAGATTTGACTCAATCTCCTGAATGGTTTTTCCAGAGGTGATGAAACTTTTGGCAAAGGTGACATTCTTGTCGACTGCCGGGCATAAAATTACAAGAATGGAATGGATGGATTAGGAGCTATTTCAACTCTACATTGTTTGTGTACCCACCATAGGTGGAGGCCACCGAATTGGCCACAGCGCAGCTCTCAAAGAATGTGGACATTTTGGCGGTGGGGTAGAAGGCCATTGTGAATCGCATCATCTCCTTGACACCCAGGTGAAGGGCAGCCACTCGAGCATTTTCGCCCAATTTCAGGCCATCAACGAAGCCCGCACCCAGGGCAATGATATCCTTCAGCGTGCCACACAACTCCACGCCATCAACGTCGTCAATGGCAATCACCCGGCAGTTTTCTGTTTGAAGCAACTCGGTCAGCAGCTGTGCATCATCGTCATTGTTGCATCCAATTGTCATCTCACAGAGCTTTCCCTGGGCCATCTCCATGGCGCTATTGGCCGTCATCATGGAGTAGCAGGGTATGTCCAAGTGCTTGCTAATCGCACTCGAGTACAGATCGATTTCGCCATCCGAAACGTGAGCCAGACCCTTGACCATGGACAGGGCGATGGCGTTCTTCTTCACCTTACCGGCCAATATGTTGCAATATGATCTAACAAAGTGCTGTGGCGTGGCAAATATTATAATATCGGCATTCTGGGCAGCCTCCAATAAATCATTTACTGCAATCTGCAAAAGCAAATAATTGATTAATGTGCACTACCCCTGCCCTGCGCTGCAGCACTCTCTCACCAAATTCTCGGGCAGCCTAATGCCAGGCAGATACTTGATATTCTCGTGGCAGTTGTTCATCACCTCTGAGAGGTATTTGCTGCGAACCAGCTCGTCATAGACATAGATGTGCGCACGGCTATCAAAGCCCTCCATCTGCTGAACATTGTTGCTCACAGAGGCTGCAATTGCCGAGCCCCTGAAATAGAAGTAATTAGTAATTAGGAAACATTATGGCCACCCCAGCCCAACACCTACCAGCTCTCAGACCCAATGATGCACACTTTCAGCTTTCCGACCATCTTCCCTTTAGCTCATTAATTTCCGTCTTTAAATTGTGTTTACGGGCAATTTTAGACCAAAGCGCGACCAAATGATTGCCAACGATAAAATACGATTTGGAATTTATTGTTAAATTTGGGGATCTTATTCTGAAGTGTGAAACATGGCTGAATGTTCCCGTACATTTAACTCGCCACCTACTTTACGTGCATGGATGTGAGTGAGCTCTGCCCCCGATGGCGGCACCTCTGGCTTGTGCCTCGACTTTGGCTTCCTGCTCGGAAATGGCACGGATCTCGAACTCGGTGATGATTTGGGAAATGCGACTCTTGGCCTCGGATGCCAGTTTGGGCGGCAGGCCCTTGACGCTAATGCAGGCACTCTCAAAGAACAAATCGTAGCTATTGCGTTGCTCCACGGGGGCAGAAGGCATACTGATTGATGTGGGTAGTAAAGCTGCAGCAGTATAATCAGTCTGACCCACAGCTGGCGACACTTTCTGAAAGAAGGCCGACAGTTCATCACGGTTATGCGCAATTCTCTGTAACAGCTCCTCGCGACTCTGTGGCGCTGGCTTCATGTAGGGATGCGATTGGCGTTTCAGAGCCATGGCGAAGCGTTGATTACGCGGCAGTTGGTTTCGTTGATTGGCTAATTCCGGCTGCAAGTAAACGGAGATTAGCTAGGCTCTCCAACAATGTCAGCAATAACACTCGGCACAAACCTTTACATCGGTTTGTGCATCTTCCAAGTGTATGTTTTCCTCGTTCTTTATTGTCTTTATCTCGTATACATTTCCATGTGTCCACATTTGTCCGGTTTGGTTAATGAGATTGGCGCCTTGAGGTGGATATTTATTTCCACCAAGATAGCTAATTTTATTGAAATTGATTGAATTGTAAGAAGATATTGGTTTATTTTAAAAACGCCAAACGGCAAAACCTTGCCAAAATCACGAAAAAATATAGTACACGGTCACGCTGTAAGAAGTGTGACCAGATAAAATATCCATCAATTGCTAAGGAGAGTTAACCCACTTAACACCCCTTTTAAAAGTTGAGCACCCTTTGTTCAAAGACATTATAATATAATAATAATATAATAATTGTTATTATTTGTCTTTGGTTAAACCGTGCAAAATAATAGTGTTTAAAAATTCATCTTGTATATTATGCTTCCTCTTCACTGCAGCTCACCCGCGTTCGGAAGTGCATGTGCATAAATATCATTTATCAATTTGATAGTCTGCATACTTAATATTTTGAACAATCATATAATATATAATACATACTTTATTAGACTATAAATATTTTGTACAAATTGTGAATATTTCCGGGCCTGTTCTATTCTACTATGCCTCAGGATCGGAATTGTCTTGAATTTGATCGATGGACAATTGCAGAAAATCTGCAAATGCATTTTAAATGCACCTACGCTTCATTACGCATGAAATGTATCAATCCATGCTGCTCGAGAAACTCCTGCGCCTTCTCGGGCCAGTTGGTGTTATTCAAAGAACGCGGACTTGGATGCGCCAAACGCAGCAGCGTTTTGCAGTGGTCCGAGCGCTTCAATGCTTGATACACATAATCACCCACAGCCACCACCACCTGGGGCTTGACAATCAGCAACTGCTTCTCCAAGGCATCCAGGCAAACGTCACGGATCTGCCGCTTGTATGGACCCTTCAGCTCAGTCGGTGTTATGTTGCGCCCGGCAGCATCAAAAAAGGCAAGTGGACAAAAATTGTGCACAAAACATTGCCGCGAAAATATGTCCAGCCGACCGCCCGCCAACCGTAGAAATAGCTCCCACAAGCGCACCCCACTGCGTTCTTGCGTTTTGCACTCCAAGCCCACAACTGGTCGCTTAGGATGGAGTACAGGCGGCCTGCCCACCTCTCCGGAGATCTCCATTAGCTCGCTCACCGTGCGCACATTGCCAAAGGGAATCTAAAAGAGGATTTTGGGTAAATTTCTAATGGGAGCCAAGCTGAGCTGAACCTACTCCCGTCTGCAGCATTCCAGTTGGTCCCGGATTCATGCCTATGAACATGACGTTCTTCGGTCCATCTAGAAAGCGTCGCAAATAAGCGCAGTGCAGGGACGACGCATACTCCACGGGATTGTATGTGCAGGCAATGGTCGGCGGCGTTTCCAAGGATAACAGCACCTCATTCAAGCTGCATTCATTGTTGTAGAACTGCTCCCACAGTGGCTGGGCAAACAGAGCGGATGTGGTATCTGCACTCCTGGCTGGTTTCTTGGGCTCTGCCTCGGACAGTCCCGCCGTCTGCAGGGCCAGCTTTCGCTTCAACATAACTCTTTCTACGATTCAAATAATGAAAGCTGATAACAAACAAACCGAATTGCTTTCCAGGGAGGAACAGATGATTCGTGATTTGGGGCTGCCAACCTGATTTATTAAGTGATTTATACAGCTACAACATTATAATGTTAAAATTAAATATACGCGCAGTTAATCCAAGTGCTATTTGTTATTATGCGTAAACTCATCCAGCCTGTTCTCGTTATCCCTAATAAAGCTCTGCTTGAAGGCTTTACAATTCTTCTCTATGCTGCTCTTGACCACAGTGCCCAGTATTTCTAGAAATTGTGCCACCTACGAAATATGTCAAAATGATTTAAAAAGGAGGCTCCAAATACGGTACTGCTACTGCGCACTCACCGTCAAATCCTTTTCCGCACATCCCAGCTTGACAAATTCGCATTGTGGCGCGTGCTTCAGATGCTCCTTCCAGGGATCGTCGTCGGACTCCCAGCCATCCAGTGTTTTGCTGCACACGAAGCATGTGGCCGTGTCGTTCTCGCGCTTAGTGCCCGTCCAATAGAAGCCCGCCTCGGCCATCTGCATTGAAATGTTTTTGATTATTATGGAACCTAAGGGCAAACCATTTCGTAAGCCGCTTGCCTTGGATATACTGCAGGATGACTGCTCGGGGAAGGGCCAGTCTTTGAAACTCTCCACGCGATGTTGCTCCAGCAAATTGAGCTGCCGGAACATCTCGAGCTTGCCTGCATCCATTGCCCCCGTAGCATCCATTATCTCTCTTGTTTCACGTTTCACACACACAACTAAAATTATATTTTTTACAAGCGACGCGCGTCGTTGTTGTTTTCAGTGACGATGTGACCGCGCCGGCCAAAAAATAAATACCATTTCAGTTTCGAGAAATACCATTTAAATACCATAACATAACAAAACCAGGGCTATCCGTCGATCAAACGATACTTAACCCACAAAACACCCCTCTATTTAAAAAGTTGAGCACCCTTTGATAAGCCGCGGAAAGTAATACATTTTGTAAAAGCCACCTTGAAGAGGTAAAACATGGGACAAACGGGGCGGCGGTTTGTGTATTGGTCCGGCTTCTTCGGATATGCTAGTTTCTTCATCCGGCCACGCACAGGGCCCACAGCTTGTTCCTGGTACTGGGCTGGTCGCAGCAGTGGCACTGGCTCCAGCCTTGCTCGTATCCATCTTGTCCTGTGCAGTGTAGTGTATAGCCCTGGAAGTCCTGTCCGTGGCTGTGCAGTCCTAGTGTCGGTAGCCGGGTAGCGTCGGTAGTGAAGTTTTTGCTACTAGCTATTGATACGAACACAATACTATCGATTGTTGTACGTCTATGTCCAGTTTAGGTCCTTACAAATCCTTAGCAGGAGCTATAGTTATAGAAGGACTTTTATAACTGTAGCCATAACTATCTCATCTCAAGAGATCCATCTGAATTGCAATTTATATAAATCTAATTTCTAAATTTATATCGATACTATCGTTTCGGCAACGATCCAGCCCTAGTGAAAGATCCGTTATGATATGTGTTGTGTGTGTGTGATGACGCGGCGCGCCAACGCGCTTAAACTAGCTTAAACGTAAGTGGAGCAACAGACCGACATATTAGCATAGTTACGTGTGTGCGTGTGTGTGTGTGTGCGTTCGCGGACGCGCGCCAAATCGGCTTAAACTCTCTCACGTAAACTCGCTTAAACGCCTAAACTAACGGTACTAACTACTTACCGTGCAGTAACTACGTACAGTTAACTTAGTTAGTAACGATATAGTACCAGTAAATACCTTACCTGTAGCAGCAGCCGGCATCCCACTTTGAGCATATACGTGTGTGTGTGTGGACGCGACGCACCAACAGCTGTAATAATGAGTAAAAGGAGATACGTTAAGTCTTGGTTGGATGACCAGACCGCCGCCACAAGTAACGACCATGTTGACCCAGACCCAGACCCAGCCTGTGCCTGTTGTGAAGGATGCGCAGCGTCTGATCGAAATGAATTGGGAGGGACATCTGCGTTGCGCCTGCTATGCAAACGATACGCGCTTCGTCGAGTATCGCCCAGAGACCGGTGTTTTGTGTGAAGCACTTCTCCAAGTACGGCCTGGACGAGGACGATGACAAGATGACGCTCCATTCGTTGCGGACCAGCGTATACCCGAGGATATGCGGCACAAGGTTCCGCGGCCGGTTCCTCGGCCAGTGACACATCCGCGCGCGCACTCTTCTTCTTCGCCAATTCGTCCTTTGACAGAAAACTGCTGTTCATATCTAACAGCCAAAAAAAAAACTCGTCAAACAGGAAGAAGAAGAAAAAAACTCATCAAACAGGAAGAAGAAGAAAAAAACTCATCAAACAGAAAGAAGAAGAATTTGTGCGATAGTTTTATTTCAGCTCTCGATACATTTTCAGGCTTACTTTCAACAGAAACACAATAGGTGGCCCCACATTGCGACGAACAATGCCTCTAGGTGGCGTGATAGTGAAACAGCTGTTCGATTTTTTTTAGTGTAACTATTTAACTGTGGTAACTGTTCTCAATCAGTGCGTTTGTTGTTAACAAAAAAAACATTTTAATTTAAATAAATTAAATTGCTCGCTCGGCGCGTTTCTCTGTATCGAATCGACCATCAAACCATAGAAGTCATTCAAAATCAATACATATACATATATAAAAAATGTACAATTCCCGCTGAAATTGTTCGCCTGGAATTCGGTCTGTTCTGCGTGTAGTTCTGGCTAACGAAAGTAAAAACTCAAATACGCGAAATAGCATAAAACAAAAGGCTTAAATAAGCAAGCACACAAATGCAAACAATGTGAAATATTTGAAAAAAAGATGCCTATCTGTGTGCTGTGCGTGTGTGTAGCCGCAGCAGCAGCAGTAGCAGCTGCGAGTATGTATGTGTACCGAAAGTGCATGAAAACGAAAACGAATCTTGAAGATAATAAGAGTCACCAAAGCTAGATAATCAGCGATGATTTAATAAAAGAATAACCTCGAATCTGCGAGAACACTTTGCGAAATGCCTAAAGCTGAAATTGTGATTGCGGCAGCCCAGCGGCACGGATTCGAGAGCAAGCAAAATCGTTACGCTGCATTTTGACTTGGGGGCGTCTGAAAAATCGATTGGATTGGCCGTACTAAAGTCGCGACCAGACCATAACAATACTACTACCATGACGCTGCTGGCGGCGCCGTCAGATTTAGTCCCGTGCTACCTCCGCGGACGCAGATATCCAACCAAAGGTGAGTGTTCAAGTATTTATTTATTAGCACTGCACTACAGCAACAAAAGCAACCACAACAAATTCGAGTATAAAGTATAGTATAAAAAGCAATGTAAATGGCGCACTTGCCTACGAGTTTCGGGTTTGTTTTGGTTTTGGCCTGGTTTTGCCATCAAATTTCGTAACAACTAAACCGAAAATACCTGTTCGGCAACCCACACCGCCACACCCCTCCGCGTCAGTGTGTTTTTTTTTATGTCTGTAGGAGCCATGGTTGGGCCACCACCACCCCATTGCACTTGAAGATGGCAGCATTTCCCCTTCACCTTCGAGCTGCTTGCTGCGCTGCCTGAACTTTGATTCAAAGTCAAATTCTTATTGTGGGTCGGCGGTAAGATGGCAATTAATGCTGGTTAATGCTCCACGGCTATGGTATGGGAGAGAAATGATTACAGGGGTACAATCATTGATTTTATATTGAATTTAATTGGGATAGTTTAACGTTCGTTTGTATGCCACCGCCACACAGGGGAATAATATATTCCATTGATATACTGCGGTATTCGGCTGTAATTTACAGTCGATCGATTATATGTATGTACATATATAAAAATAGATCTGACTATACATGTGACAAAACCGCCCACAACTGGAAACCAAACCATTTCGGCTTGAGTGAATTCACTGAAGGAATTAGTTTGTGGGGAATACGCGAAAAGTAAATGATTCTCAGGGGCTTTCAGTACGCGGAATGTTCCACAAATTAAATATTTCGCTGGGCCAGCCGAATCTATTTTTATGCCAATTGACGCGAGGCCGTAAACCACAAACCGCCCACTTTACAGGCTCTCCTCTCAAACTGCGTGGCAGAGCGGCTGCTCCATGGGGCTACGTGAGCCTCCTCCACTGCTGCCATTTAGACTCAAGTAAGTGCGGTGCCTAAGCGTCGTACGATCAAAATATGGATCCGAGATGGCGGAGAATCGAGGCCAGGCAGGTCGTAATTGAATGTGTGTACTCGTTACTTTTCTGATTAGCATTCCCATTCCGTTTGCTATTGTGTGATTCAGGGCCCGGGGCCGTTTTATTGGGCACTTGGCATCCAGAATCTCTAGCGTCTAGACTCTAGAGGATGGAAAACAGAGAATACGAATACCTAAACAAAGAAAATGATTATCGAAAGTGGGGCCCAGCGGCAGCAATTGATTGTTCTTACATCCTTCTTTCCAGATGGCGATGTCGAGATGAAAGTGCGCGCCCAGTGAGCTTTCTTCGTTAGCTTCGTCAGCCCCAGAGCCAGAGACAGATTGCGAGAAAGAGCGTGAGAGAGTGAGAGCGCGAGAAAGGCAGAGATACTATGTCCAAAATGAGAGGTAATCGAATCTAAGCAAGCTGTTCATTACTTAGTTTGATGTACATATGAACCACATGAAAGGTCGCATTTTGATACCACTGCCCAATACCGGATCGATGGGACGGAAGCGCAACAACTTCTATATGCGGAGTATATTTCTACTGGCGCTGTGCATCTTTGGCCTGCTGCAGTACCACAACTTTAACTACTGTAAGACATGCATTCCATTCCCCCTTTCGGCAGACTAATTTTATTCTTCTTCCGTCGACAGTGGAGTCCAGGGACACTGTTCTGGGAGATGCGGTCACCAATGACTCGGATGATGCCATCCTGGCCATGGTCCCCGCCACGCTGCACAAGTACTTGACGCCGCACTCTCGCAATCACAGTGCCGCGGCAACAAGCGGAGCGATGGGCGGAGCTGGAGTAATAGGAGCCCGTGAGTACAGAACGTAAACAGTGCATTATTTGTATTACGATCGATCCCTTTCAGCTCTGCTTCTGAACACGAGCAGTTCCGGAGCGGCGACTGCAACTACAATCAGCTTTGATGTCTACCATCCTCCAAACATATCGGAAATAAAGCGTCAAATCGTTAGATACAACGACATGCAGCTGGTGCTGAACGAGGACACATTCGGTCCTCTGCAAAACGACTCTGTGATAATTGTAGTCCAGGTGAGTGTGTCCTGCAGGTGACAGCTAAACAATATCCTTCATCATCGTGGAATTCTCACAGGTGCACACGCGGATTACTTACCTGCGGCATCTGATTGTCAGCCTGGCGCAGGCGCAGGACATTACCAAGGTGCTGCTGGTGTTCTCGCACGACTACTACGACGAGGACATCAACGATCTAGTGCAGCAGATAGACTTTTGCAAGGTGCTACAGATCTTCTATCCCTACTCCATTCAGACCCATCCCCACGAGTATCCAGGCGTCGATCCCAACGATTGTCCCAGGAATATCAAGAAGGATCAGTGAGTATTTCCATGCAGCAGGCATGACTGGAATAACTTACCAATCACCGATATAATAGGGCAATGATCAGCAACTGCAACAACGCTCTGTATCCGGATCTCTATGGGCACTATCGGGAGGCGAAGTTCACGCAGACGAAGCATCACTGGATCTGGAAGGCGAACCGTGTCTTCAACGAGCTGGAGGTCACTCGCTTTCACACAGGTATGCTGTAGCAAGGATCACTTTGAGGGTCATCCCACTTCAGATCCTTTTTCCGGCTTTAGGTCTGGTCTTGTTCCTCGAGGAAGATCACTATGTGGCCGAGGACTTTCTCTATCTGCTGGCCATGATGCAGAAGCGCACCAAAGACTTGTGTCCCCAGTGCAACGTACTGTCCCTGGGCACCTATCTGAAGACATTCAACTACTACACCTACCACAGCAAGGTGAGACCTGGAAGGACAATGCGTCCCTTCTTTTCCTCATGCTAGAAATGCTTGCCACTAAAATCTTTTGAGTGTGGCGCACTGAGACGCAACAAACATAAAAAATGAGATAGAGCGCTTCGAGCCTTACCCTATTTTAAGTACTTGTATTATTTATGTTTGAAGATCAACTAAACGCTTCTGTTGCTACCAGACACACACATACCACACACCACATTCCCAGCGCCACTCTCGAACGTTTCGAAATCATAATACAAATTGGAATATGGAAGGAAGTGTATCACAATTCCATGGAATATACCCTCTAGTACCAGCATACCAGACCGCACTGGTGCCTTGTATTGCCGCGTCTAACTTAAACACATCACTCGCATGTCCTGGTAACCAGGAGCACTAGTTCCCACTCGATTAGCCTGCGATTACCGGTAGCTAGTTGCAGAACTAGTTCAGTTTAGTCGACGAAGAGATCGTTTACCTGGTAGCTAGTAAAAAAAAAAGGATAAGCTGCGCGAAACTACATAGTTCTAAGGGGGTTCTAGAGGGTAAATTCACTTCACGCTCCACTTACACACATTGCACACACGCATTCCTGTACACACCCATAGGTGTGGTGTATGTTTATACATGCATACATACATTCAAACATATATCATGTATTATTATTATTGTATTTTAAATATCATATATATATATCTCTGTTCTATTCCGAATTCTGGCACGCAGACTAACAAGAAATCCTATGCTTCCTCGCTGATCTCGACAAACAGTCTATTAGGATACAATAGGCATAACAATAATAATAATAAAAACAATAATAATAATAACAATAGAAACTCAATGCAATTAGCCGTGTCGTCCTCCTCTTCTTCCACGTCATCTGCGCAATCATCAACGACATCACTCAGAAACAACGCCAAAGTCTATGTGGGCGACACCACTGCAGATGCAGCCACTGGCAGCCACAAAAACATCAATAGCAACAAGAAAGATTACAACAAGAATAATAATAAATCGAATAATATGAGAAGCAACCACATCAACACTGTCACCGCCTCCTCAGCCGCCACATCCTCCGACACCAACAATGAGCCAAATAGCAATAGCAATAATAACAATAATAATAACAACAAAAATGGTGCACAAACATGGAACTATCATGTCCTGCCGTCATTGTATTCCGTCTATCAGAAGGTAGCCACCACCACACCACCGCTAGCACATATTCTATATACTCCAGGCTGGCATCCAAGTTCCTTCTAGTTAAAACTGCACCTGCGTATCGATCCCTCGTATCGTCCTTAGTTTTGAGCACTGACTGTTTGCACTGGGATGCGTTTGTAGGACTTTGAGAGGCGGCGCCACCCACACCGACCCTTCATGGTGCTGCAAATACATCCTGGAGGCGACACACGAATACTTTATTGGCTGTGTAGATTGCTCCCCATCCTCCTCCATCGCTGCGCTTTGGCACTTTTGCATGTACCTTTTGGACGTTTCCTTCTTTTGCTTTCTGATTAATTTCTGTGTATTTGCTATGCATACTACTGTTGCGTTGTGTTAATTAACTTGTCTATGTGTCCCGCGATGGCATGCCACATCTCTGCCCCGCCCGCCCGTATGTACCCGCCCGTACTCGTACTCTGCCCTCCAGTTACACGCACGCGTGCGGCTCGTGAAGATTGATAGCCAAAGCATCATCAATGACTATCGCAAGGTATTTGGTATGGCGTGTATCCCCATCGTTACGTTACCCATCGTTCCGAATCACTGCCTAGTCCTAATCACTGCCCTCCTGCGCCACCTCCTGCGACGGAAACGAAGGCAGTGCGTGATTGATACTACTAAGGCGACCCACAAATCGTACTACCAATTATTTATGTTTAAACGAATGAAATTTGCATGCCCAACCCCCCTATGCCTATGCCTTTGCCTCTGACCCTATCCGCTCCTTTCAAATCGGTTTCAATTTGTTTGCTTTAAATGATTGTCGATAATTGCATACTTAACCCGAATTCCCCTTCTTCCGTGTCTCTCGTCCCGTCGACAGGTGGAGGTCATGCCGTGGGTGAGCAGCAAGCACAACATGGGCTTCGCCTTCAACCGCACCACCTGGACGAACATAAGGAAGTGTGCCCGCCACTTTTGCACCTACGACGACTACAACTGGGACTGGTCCCTGCAGCACGTCTCCCAGCAGTGTCTGCAGCGCAAGCTGCATGCCATGATAGTCAAGGGCCCGCGTGTCTTTCACATCGGGGAATGGTGAGCGAGAGAGTCTGCCCTGTTCCTTCCATTTTTAATCTGTACAAATTCTCTCTTGCAGTGGCGTTCATCACAAGAACAAGAATTGCGAGTCCAACCAAGTCATCTCGAAGGTTCAGCACGTTCTGCGGATAGCACGCAACTCGCATCAGCTCTTTCCCCGCTCACTCACCCTGACGGTGCCCAGTCTAAGTAAGAAGACCAAGCTGCGCAAGGGCAACGGCGGATGGGGCGACCTGCGGGACCATGAGCTGTGTCTGAACATGACTCTGTCCACGCGGTAGAGGAGGCCAAAGGAACAAAGCTACAGCTTTTAATACGAGTATAATATCTAGTTAGAAGTAGCCTTACGAACATTCAACACTCAACACTCAACAAGATAATGTGTACTCTGTATCAGTGAAATAATCTAACCGCATGTAATCGAAGTCAAAACAAGTTGTGCATCAGTTGCGCCTCCAAAGAGCCTCCACGGGCGCTGCACAAATTCCTAGTATAAGTAATCCTCCTCTAGTCACAGGCCATATGCCAACCCAACCCAGCCCAACTCGGAAACCCCCAATATTCGAATCCTATTTGTACTGTTTGCTCTTCGGTTTGGTAAAAATTACTTTGTATTGTTTAGGCTCCGTCCGAAATTGGGGCGGATAGAACCCTAGCAACGCTTACGACTCTTATGCTACATACTATTAAACTCAAATATGTACGAGTAGTACTCGGTCGCGTATCGTAATCCCAAATTGTGCCGAATCCGTTTCGTAAATGGTCATGTGAATGGTCGAGTCCAGATAGTTCAGAGTTAGATCAAGCAGTCAATCGCATAAACTAGTCATACGAGTAGCACGTGCGCATAGAACGGTAGCGCATTAGAAGAATATAACTACATAACTCTTTGATAACTTATTGTATAACGTTTTAAGCCTGTAAATAGAAATCTTTTGTTGAATAAATTACATAAGGTCTTTTAAATATACAAACCAACATACACATGCATACATAATGTATTTAACTAATTAAATTAATCTGTTATTTTGTAATTGTTAGTCAAATGCGCTTTTATGTATTAGAAATTTTTCATCATTTGAACGATTAATCTTAGTGAATAAAAGCCAAGTGAACGCTGAGCCAATACCAATCCAAACAATCATTCACTTTCGCCCTTAAGCTCTGTTGCGCTTTTTAAAAACTAAGCAATGCGGCAGGGATATAAAAAGCGAAAAGATTTCAAAATCTTACACGAAAACCAATGTACATATAAACATTTTACATGTGTGTAAAAAAATATCCCACTAGTGGCATTATTTTTGAGTAACTTAAGTAATCTAAAAATTCGAAACACATCAAGTTAAACTTTCCCGGGCGACACCATCTATGGTCGTCGGCGATACTATCGATGTTTGACGTATTTTCCAACACTCTATAGCGCCATCGAATTTTTTGAGAGCAGTGGCTCTGCTTAAAACTTAGTGATATTTTGGAAATAAAACAAAAAAAGACAAAATCGTAGATCCTTAGCAAATGTCCCAAAAATAAAGGAGTTGCGTGGTGGCTGGAGCCGCGAGGAGAATATCGGGACCACGGACGTTCAACTGCATAAATCCAGGCGGAAGGGAACCCGTGCTTTTCTTGCTTTAAAATTTCCGGCCCTGGTTTTACGCGGTCGACGTTAGTTGCAAACGCGCAGCTGGAGCAACAACAACACAAAGTCTTGAGACTGGCAGGCACAGCACACAATCAGCGAAATCAACGGACTAGCAGCTAATACACTGCCATCTCAGAACACAACGTTATTTAATCAACTCTTGGCTGTTCGTTCTTTCGGTTAAGTGCGTGAGAGTGTCTCTATAGCTGCAATCATGAGCAAGCAACTGGCGCGCCATGTTGGCCAAATCAACAAATTCCTGACCGCACCATCGGCAAATGCTGCATCCACCCACAACACCTACTTCACCTATGTTCGTGAGCTGTCGCATCCGATTGCCCGTGACCCGCCAATTGTGCCTGTCGAGGAGGCTGTCTCCTGCATCAAGTCTGGTGAGTGCATGCCTAAATGATTGCCTTTGCAACTGCACCAAGGGCCACTGGGCCGGGGCTGACCTGTAAACTCAGTTTTCATTAATATACTATACATATAGAATGGCAAAGTTTTTGGTTATGTAATGTTTTGGCGTTCTAGTGGGCTTGCTTAGGAAAACAGAACGAAAATGAAACGGGTCGCGGAGCAGTGGCTGTGGCATGCAAATGTAAACCATGTGTGTGTGTGTCGTAGTTGAACTACTTCGAGCACACAGCACAGGGAGGGCATTTACATATGTACATGTGTACATGCATATATAGGGTGTTCAATAGCTTTGACAGAATCAAATTGACCGTGATTATCGTCATTGCTGAGTGCTTAAGCTATCAGTTATTTATTTACTCCCCTTACATACAATGCGGACATGTCCCCACACCACCCCACCCCTCACACGTATAAAATTTCCGTCCAGATGCATGCAGGGGTCATTAACTGTACATCTGTATCTCAACATACACAGTGGCCACAGTGGAGCGTCGTGTGTAGATTATATTTTTAGGTTGCAAAAATTGTACTTTGTACCCTCGCATGCTCTGCAACAGCAACATCAGCAGCAGGAAAGCTGAGCTTAGGCCCAAGAACGAATGTCGAACACACACAGGCAAGTGTATCGATACAAGCGGCTATCGTCGTCGCTCTCCACGTCGCCCGCTGTGCTGATAAGAGCTAATAACATTTAAAACAGCTTCTTATGCAATGAATATCAGCGGGGCAGGTGAACTTGTGTGTGTTTGCGTGCTCGTGTCATTGGACACTTTATAGATTCCCGTACTTTGTGGTCACATAGCATCACATAGCAGCATAATCAGAAGCAGCTGACCCGCTTGCAGAATTTGCTTTGATTAAATTCAATTTAGGCAATTTGGCGACTTTAGCTATGCAATCAATTGAGACTGTTAGCCACGCCCACAATTCACAGAGACATAATCAATGCTAAGCACTTCAAAGGCCTCCCTCATCAGCAGGCCCATGCAAATTGATAAACATTGATGTGTGGGGCGCCAGGGGGCTTGCATACCGCCACCACAACAGCTAAAGCAACAACAAAATCTACACAATTTTGTACATACATATGTATATGTATATGCCGTCAGTGTTGGTCCCGTTCCCTCTAATTTTAGCCAAATTCGCCAACGCAGGCCACAAGCTACGCAGAATCTACTACGTAATATGATTGGAAAAGTTTTGTGTATGGCACGTTTTTGGCAGATACAATTTTGGCACTTGTACAGTACTTATTGCCTATACTGGAATCAGTTCTGTATCGGTTTTTGCATTCTGTGCCCCCTAGACACTTGTCAAAAGATTACGGGGAAAACTTTCTTATAATTATAATTGACGTGGCTCGTACACCCCAACCGATAAGAATTTCACATATCGGATGATTTTTAATGACGTTATAAGGGGCCCGTAGGGGAGGGTCACAGTATTGGTAGCTGCACATTGGTATTGACTCCATTGCCTGTCTGTAGAGAATTCAAAACATATATGTATATTTCTAGGAAGAGCTGCACTTGTGTTTACAAACATTTAGTATAGTCACGAGACATAGAACTGTTGCCCGCTGTTACTAACACACGCAACGTTCTCCCTCCGAACAAACATCTAGAGAGCTTTCAAGAGCCAAAAGCTTTGATCGGTAGATTGTGAGCAGATTCGGTTGGGAGGGAATTTGATTATTTTTAGTTAATAACTTGTCAGTCACGCCGATGCGTGTTCATACATTTGAAAACAGTTATAAATATATTTTAACAACTCTTCACAACTGCACGACAAATATAGCATGAGACAACACGAGAAATTAGTGGTCGAGCAGGTGCCAAATACTCGTACTAACGAATTGCAAAAATTTTCGTATGCTAGCGATACAAATTCCAAAATAATTTATTAAACATTAATGATTTCCCTGCATCTTTTTTTTCTAAAGGGGATACGGTGTTTGCGCAGGGGGCTGCCGCAACGCCTGTCGCTCTCCTGAATGCCATGGCTCTGCATGGAAAGTGCAACCAGCTGAAGGATGTCACCGTTTGCCACATGCATACGGAGGGTCCAGGAGAGTACTGCAAGCCCGAGTACAAGGACATTTTCCGCTCGAACTCGCTGTTCATGGGCGCCAACGTGCGCAAAGCTGTGGCCGAGGGACGGGGCGACAATGTGCCCATCTTCCTTCATGAAATTCCTCTGCTGTTCTACAAGAAGATTATCAAGCCTGATGTGTCCTTGATCCACGTGTCGCCGCCAGACAACCATGGCTACTGCTCGCTCGGCACCAGCGTCGACTGCGTTCGCGCCGCTCTGCTCAACTCAAAGATCATTGTTGGTAAGTGATCGATCGCAGAGCGACAAGTCCTCTCAATTGCGATGTGAATTCTATTCCGATTCTGTTCAGCTCAAATAAACCCCAAAATGCCGCGTACTTTCGGTGATGCCATCATCCACAAATCGCACTTTGACTTTGCTGTCGAGGTGAACGAAAGCCTGCCGCAGCATGGCACTGGAAAGATCTCCGCTGTGGAGCAGAAGATTGGCAAACTGATTGCCGAGAATCTGGTGAAGGATGGAGCCACCCTGCAGATGGGCATTGGCAGCATTCCCGACGCTGTTTTGGCTGCCCTGCACAACCACAAAGACCTGGGCATCCACTCCGAGATGTTCGCCAACGGAGTGGTCGAGCTGGTCAAGAAGGGCTGTGTGACCAACAGCAAGAAGAAGATGCACCAGGGAAGGATTGTGGGTTCCTTCCTCATTGGAGATCAGCCCCTGTACGACTTTGTCAACGACAATCCCTTCATTGGTAAGCTATACCTGGAAACATTTCCCACCATCCGAGAGTATATTTATATCCGTTTCTTTCGATAGAAATGTATGGCATCGACTATGTGAACAACACCAGCATCGTGAAGCAGCAGCCCCGCATGACGGCCATCAACAGCTGCATTGAGGTGGATCTGACTGGTCAGGTCTGCTCCGACTCCATTGGCACGCGCTTCTTCTCTGGCTTCGGCGGACAGGTGGACTTTATCCGCGGTGCCGCCGAGGGTCTGGATGGCCTGGGTGTGCCAATCATCGCCATGCCCTCGACCACCAAGAATGGCGAGAGCAAAATTGTGCCCACGCTGAAGCCAGGCGCTGGCGTCGTTACTTCAAGGGCCCACGTCCACTACGTTGTCACGGAGCATGGCATTGCGTCGCTGTTTGGCAAGAATGTGCGCCAGCGCATGTACGAACTGATCCAGATATCCGACCCCAAGCACCGTGAGACCCTGGAGAAGAACTGCTTTGAGCGCATCAAGGTGATGCCGTCGCCAAACTAAATCCAAACGAAAATCTACATCTAAATCCAAATCGTCGATGAATAGAAACAATTTCAGTGTGGCCTGAATCAGAAATCCGTAAACGCATTCCCGAAATTGTTTGAGTTTGAGAGCTACACGAGGATACGATCAAATCAGCTTAAGCTTAAGATCCTTCTTTAGCATTACCAAATTGAGATGGCAAAATAAAACGAATTCATGTGAGAAATACTCGAAAATTTCATTTAAATACCGACGACAGTTTAATTTCATACCACATTTATGAAGGAGGGGGGGCACAAGGCGTACAGGAAGTTCGGTTTGTTTTTTTAGTTTTTAGATGTTTAGTTGTAGGTTTTATATGTATATACAAATCTGTGTGTTCGATTAGTGTGTGCCGCTGTTTAGGGGCTTTCCGCTTAAGATTACACGAGACACGAGCACACAACGTTGCCTTTGAACTGAATGTAATGTAAAGTTAAGGTTAAGTGGTTCAAAGTTTAGGTTAAGGATCTGTTCTCGTTCAAAAGGAACTAAATTGTATTCTCAGTATGTTATGTATCGCGTATCGTATCGTATCGTATCGTATTGTAAAATAGGGCCTAAAACACTTTGTTGCTTGTTAAATCTACACGTGAAGAATAGCTTAAACCATCATCGATGGATGGTTGACGATTTACGATGATTTAGATTTAATTTCCGGCTATCCGGTGGTTTTTACTTCTTCTTGTTGTTCTTGGCGTTTTTATCGCCGGCAGCGGCTGCAGCGTTCTGCTCGATCTTGGCCCGCTTCTTTGGGTGCTCATCCTCCTCGTCCTCGGCCACATCGTCCTCCTCATCCTCCTCCTCCATGTCGACCACCTCGACATCGTCCTTGATGTTGTGGCCGTGAATGTACACGGGTCCACTGCCCTTGATCAGCTTGAACGTGACCTTCGACTCGTAGAACTCCACATCTGGATTGACGGCGCGGGTCTCGCCTGCCTTCAAGACAGCAATCGGAATTTGAACAGAGTCCTTCACTGTGTTGACCTGCGTAAAAGAATGGAATCGTATTCGTTTGATTATGATGATGGAACAGACAGATACAAGCTTCAAGTGGTTCAGAGACAGTTGTTGACTTTGCAGATTACATTTCTAATTTCTAATTTACGCGCCCCGCCGCCTATTCGAAGCTCATCATGGGGGTATGCGTCTGTGTCGTTGGCTTTATCGCTTCCCTAATCATTGTCCGTCGAGCCGCCGTGCACCTTCCCCATAACTGTCCCCTGGGTGCGATGATAGCCGTCACTCTCGTTTCTCGTTTCTGCTGGCTACGCATTCAGCCACAGTTTTGCGCTAGACCATTCGCTAGACCACGCTTGTGCGAAACGGTTCGGTTCGGCCCCCACCTACATGCAGGAAATTTATCAAGTGCACTCTCACTTGAAGAGCGGTTCGCCTCCTCTGCCTCTGCCCTGCCACATGTAACAAGTGGCCGCTAATTAAAATCATCTAACGAAACGTGTAAAATATAATTCACAACTCCCAACCCTCGCGACTCCCGATTGTCAGCATGTGCGATACTGAAGGTACGTAGAGAGCAGTACACTTTCCAGCGAAAGAAAACCGATCCCACGACTCCTGAAATGGCCCTCTATCCAGCCTGGTATCTGTTATCCCTTTCTGGCCTTTTAGGCTTCACGTGTATGTTGCCTGCAGGCAGCGGATCACAGGGGATCATGTGCATCATGGGGATCATAACATCAAAGACAGGGATTCCCTGAAAAGTGTTGCCAATTAAAAAAAACGAAACAGGAAACCTGGCTTACCCTGGAGACAGCATAATCTAGGGTTTTTTTTTTGTAATGCTGATAGACAAGCGCGGTTCCCCTTGGATGAAGCTGTCTATCCAGCTGTTTCCAACAGTCACAAGACTACATACTGCGTCCGGGCCAAAGAATTTATTAAGGCACTTCAGACCACTGATCAGGCATAAAGATAATGTGTGATTAGAAATCTCTGTACTGTTTCCCAATCAAGTACATAATGACGCAGACATCCAGACGGACCCCAAACAGCCGCAGGTTTATATGTGTATATTTAATTGCTCTGCAAATGTGATTCCAGATCCAAATCTCTATCGGGAACGCCTGCCAAATGTGTGCGAGGCCATGGGCACAAGGGCACGAAGCTGCTGCAGCCTGCGAACCGTGCGCAAACTGCTGCCCGTCACAGATTGGCTGCCAAAGTATCAGCTGAACTTTCTACCGATGGACATTGTGGCGGGTCTGACGGTGGGCCTCACGGCTGTGCCTCAAGCCATAGCCTATGGGGTGGTTGCCAATCTCCCTCCCGCCTATGGCCTCTACTCGGCGTTCATGGGCGGCTTCGTCTACATATTGCTGGGCACCTGCAAGGACATCACAGTGGGCCCCACTGCAATCATGGCCCTTATGGTGCGTCCCTATGTGGACGGCAACCCGGACTACGCGGTTCTGCTCTGTTTCCTGTCTGGCTGCATCATCCTGGTGCTGGGTCTGCTCAATCTGGGCGTGCTCATGCGCTTCATTTCGGTGCCGGTGACCACCGGATTCACGATGGCGGCCGCCATTACCATCGCCAGTGGGCAAATCAACAATCTGTTTGGCATATCAGGCAGCTCCACGGGGTTCCTCGACTCGTGGATACATTTCTTTGGCCACATCAAGCACACGCGTCCAAACGATGCCATTTTGGGATGCTGCACATTAGTCCTGTTGCTGCTCATGCGGGTAAGATCGGATCTTTCCGGATCCGCATTCAACATGTAATTCGGGTTTATTATTGCAGAAAATCACAGACTTGCCCTTTGGCTACCGCAGTCTGCTGAAGTATCTCTCGCTCTCACGCAATGCCGTGGCTGTGTTCGTGGGCATCCTTCTGTGCTACCTGCTGAGCCGAGGCTCCGCGTCCCTGCCATTCCTCGTGAGTGGAACCATTACTTCGGGCCTGCCCCCATTCAAGGCGCCACCATTCCACACGCAGGATCCAACATCCGGAGACCCCGTCAGCTTTGGTGGCATGGTCTCGAATCTTGGCTCCGCAATGGTGTCCATTCCCCTGCTGTCTATACTCGAGAGCGTGGCCGTGGCAAAGGCTTTCTGTGAGTAATGCTTCGGGCATCGATTTACTGATTGTTAACTGATTGTTCGTTTAGCTAAAGGAAAGATCGTGAATGCCTCGCAGGAGATGATTGCTCTAGGCATGAGCAATGTGCTCAGCAGCTTCTTTCTGTCCATGCCCATAACTGGCTCCTTCACGCGGACGGCCATCAACAATGCCAGTGGCGTGAAGACCCCACTAGGTGGCGCCGTGACAGGCGCCCTCGTTCTCATGACCCTCGCCTTTCTCACCTCTACGTTTGCCTACATACCCAAGGCCACGCTGGCAGCCATCATAATAGCAGCCATGCTCTTCATGGTGGAATATGAGACCATAGCGGAGATCTGGCGGGCCAAGAGTGAGTATTTTTCAGAGCGTAAGGAGGGTGCCAATAAGGCCACTTGTGTCCTTCTGTAGAGCGTGATATGCTGCCCTTCCTGGTTACCGTTCTGTGCTGTTTGTTCTGGACTCTGGAGTTTGGTATGGTTGTGGGCATCGTCTTTAATGCACTCTTCCTGCTGTACAAGAGCATGAAGCCGCAATTCCATTTGGAGACCCAAACGGTACGCTTACGCTCAACCAGATATAAAGTTCACCACGAGATTTCATTTCACTCCTTCTTTGTGGCAGTACAATGACGTGGAGCTGAGCCTGGCCGATTTGAAGGGCAGTGTCGACTACTCGGCAGCGGAATACCTCAAGACTGCCATTTTATCCCACGTGACGAGTCGGCAGGGTGCCATAATGCTGGTTGTTATCAAGGGAGACGAGATCGGATCGATTGATACCACGGTGGCGCTGGTAAGCGGAGCTATCCAGTCTAGGGAGACACCACATCACACCATTCCACTACCCTCCTGTTACTTTGCAGAACCTCATTTCGCTGCGGGAGGACCTTGCGCTACTCAACTGCAATCTCATTTGCTGGAACTGGAGCGTACCGGCAGCGGGGGTGCTTTGCCGGATAGACAGCAAGACGCGTAAAATGCTGAAGTTCTCAAAGAGCTTCCCAGAATTAATGGAAGCATTGGAAAATGAAGCTGATGCAACGGTGAAGATATCCCAATTTGAATAGATTGATTAAACAGAGTGAATACACAATTCAATAAATGTGTGATAATTTTCCTCTTTTAAGTCGCATTTTTGTATCTGTATCTGCGTACAGTTACTTATAACTCGAGGGGGGATGGGAGTACGGTGCATTCGGTGCAGATGTACAGACAAAAATTACCCTTACCCATGCCAATGAGAATAGAGAAACCGGTCCTTGCCCCGGCATAAAACACAGCAAAAAAAAAAGAAGCAGACGGGTCGGCAGACGCATGCGGCGCGCGCATATACACAGAATTTATGGACACTCACCTCCACCACGTTGAACTCATTCTCCTTGGCTTCCGCGCCCAGCAGAATCTGTTTGATCACCAACTTCTGGCCTCGTGCGTAATCCTCGTCTACGTCCCACGTCACGCTGTTGCTTTCGGCGGTCAAAGTAACACCTGAAAATTAGATCATTTGTTCTTAGTACCCCATTATGTTTAACAAGAGAGAACACATGTGTGTGTATCTACATTTATGTATGTACATATGCACAGACACAATAATTAGTCAGCGGCAACCTTGAACAAAAACACCGGCAAGCGGCGGCGTCTGTCCTTTCACTCACGCATAACTCGAACTTCAAGCCGCCTATTGCGGATGCACTAGACTTGAATTGAACTTGCATTGGTTTATTATATTTACCATAGAATGATTCCTCAGCCATTGCAGTTATTTGGTTAATATTAATTTAAAAGAACCGAGCGTCGAACACGTGTTGAGCAAAAAATTTGCAAAATGGTAGCTAGAGATGCAAGACCACCGATAATATCGGGGGTGGAAGTAGTAGAGTTGCCACTATTGGTGTTTTTCCCACATATCTATCGAAATGATTTTCGGTACAGTCTGGGGATCTTGAAACTAATAATAATGAAATTTGTTTTTTATTCAAATGATTTCACAATTTTATAATCCATACAGAGGGAATCACGTTTAAATATTATGTATTTTTAATATATATTTCCATTTTCATCAGATTCGCGTGACTATCGATGAAATGCTCGTCAGTTCTTGAACGTTTACCAGCCCTGCTCAATGCTTCAATATCTCATCATCACCGCCATCATTACGGGCACGTGTAAGAGTACAAAAAATTTCCATTTATAATTGACTGTACAATTGTGTGATACAAGAACTACAAATGGAGTCCGAATCTTTTTATGGTAAGTAGCTACATTTTCGTGTGCATTGGCATATCCAAACGAAAACAGCGCGGAATTTAGTTGGCGCTGGCGAGTACCGGCCCCGACCGGCAAAAGAAAACTTAGTTGAATTTTCTTGCTTCTTGATTCAGGTGTTACACTCAGCGAGAAAGATCCAATTGCACAGTTCGATGTACCCGATATTCCAGAGGAGTACGTCGTCCACTCACACAAGTTGATAATAAAACAGATCTCCCTCGGGTCCGAAGCGAAGACGGGCGAATTTAATGTTGTACAGGTACAGTATATACAGCATATAGCATGGGTTCAAGATAATAGTTGATTCGAATTTGCAGGCGGAGACAAACGTGAACGATGATGGTGAGAAAAAGACTGTGAAGATACCCATAGCAGTTCTGAAGGTCGGGGAGACGCGCAGCTTAAGGCCTAATGTGGAGTTCCCAAATGGATCAGTCACATTTAAATTGGTGCAGGGCACTGGGCCGGTATATGTCTGCGGAAAGGTACATACTATTTACTGGTGATTACTTCGTTTCCTGGTTCTTATTCGATGTCTTCTTCTTTAGGCCGAGATGAACTTTGGAGAGTTCGACGATGGCCATATGTATGAGGAGTATTCCGACGATGAGGAGGACAGCGACGGCGACTTTGACGAGGACGCTGTGCCACAGACGAACGGCAAGAGCAAAATTACAAAGAAGTAAAGTAACAATAAACTATCCAGTAAGCTAATACAAAATGATACAAAAAAGAGAATAAAACAAAACAAGAGAAAACAAAGCATCTGCAAATTAATATATATATATTTTTCAAAAAGATTCAAATAAATCGAAACGAAAGTACGTTCTGCGAATGTGTGTGTGTGGTTGGTCTATAGTATATGGAATTTTATTCATTGTTTTATGTTATGTTCAAATATGTCGCTTAATACAAAAGAATTGTGGCAGTTTTGAGAAGAATGCTCACGGAAGATAAAAAAATGGCCGCCACCGGGATTTGTGCTAGTTACAGGCTCGCGCCACAGAGATCTTCTGGCGTGGCACGCTGAAATAAAACAACGAATTTCATGGTCTGGAGACATGCTTAAACTGTAGCGGATCCATACCGTATATGTATGACACGACGCCTCTCATCGCTGGGATGTATGAGGTCCAGTTTCTGGCTCCACTCGATGAGCTTCATTTCGTGGCGCAGCTTCTTCCGATCGAAGTATGAAATGACACAGCTGATGGGTATCCAAAAGACTGAGGTGACCAGAACAACGGCCACTGGAAGGAGCATGGGCATGCCATTAGGCCACTATCAAAAGGAAATCGTACGGGAATACTTACTGACAATGTTGTCCTTGAGAAATCGCAGGGTTTTGGCAACATTGATCTCCTCAATGATGTCCCAAAAGCGCTCGACCACATCCTGTATGGTCTTCTCGCACACGCCCTGCACAAACACAAAATGATGGGATAAATATGGTGGAATATTTCGTTAGAATTTCGCCCTCACCTTATTGCAAAATCCAGTTATGCAGGGCGTGCCATCGGGCAGGACATCCGGCGGCTCCACCGGGAAGCATGTCTCATTGATGCTCATGCGGCAGCAGCGCTTGCAGGCATCCACAATGATATCACACATACAGCTCTGCAAGCCCTGCGTCTCGCAATAGGGCACGCACTTGCCGTTGCGGCACTGTCCCCGCTCCTGGCAGATGGTCCCATCCGCCATGGCCGGCGACTTGGGGCACTCGGCATGGGCGCCCGTGCACCGCGCCTCCTGCTCGCAGGTGGCGTACTGCGCCTCCCGGCACTTCATGCCAGAGGCCATGAACTGGCAGTTCTGGCAGCAGGGCGAGTTCTTGTCGCTGCACATGGCGCCCTGGTTGCGACGCAGTTTGCAGTTCTTGTCGCAGCACGAGTCATTGTCCTCGGTGCCCAGCAGCCCGGCATCGCACTGCTCGTCCCCCTCCACGCGCAAATTTCCGCAGAACGACTCCTCCGGCTCTGAGAAGCAGCGACCAGACTTGGCCTGCAACACTTTTCGTATGGATCGAAGCGAGCAGGGCGAGAATTTCTAAACGGAGAACGAAAAACGGAAAAAGTTAACGTAAGATCCAACTGGGAGCTGCTAGTAAATATTGCTCCTACCTTGTTGTTCACGTCGTAGCCGCTGACTGAGTAGGTGTACATCAGAAAGCTGCCGCCCTGCGAGGCGCTGGGGGAGCACTCCGGTATGTCAGGGTCATGCTCGGAGCCCCAGTTGTGTCCAAACTCATGGGCCGTGACCAGATCGGCCTCCCGTGTGATCACCCGCTGGCCGTAGTGGTTGCGCGAGCTGCTCAGGCCCGAGTTTAAATACAGCGTGTATCCATTCTTGAAATATTCTTGAGATTGGAGAACAGAGGAGAAAGCGAGTTAGTTTCTGTGGATGGACAATCAATGAATGCTAAAAACTTGAACGAAACAAAGGAAAACAAATAGAACGCAAGTGTGTAAGCCAAATGATAATGACGAAACTAGTACGAGTATTGTATCTGGGATTAGCAACAACCTGGAGTGCAAATGCCGCCAACGGAGTTGCGACGCGGGGAGCCAACGTAAGCCAAACCTAAAATGCCGCCTTCGAATTTCAGATCGGTAAAGAGATGAGCTAAGCAAAAGTCTTTGTGGCTGTACTCCCGGGAGAAGACCTACTCCCGGGGCAGGTGCCATTCAAACACACATGGCACAGCACAGACACAGACACAGGTTAGCAGTCACAGAGGGATTAGAGTAAGAGAGAGTCCAAGAACAAGAGTTACATATATGAGAGACAATGAGGCAATCACAACTACACGACACAATTGATTAAACTTTGATTCGACTTTGATGCGGCAGACACTCACCTCCAGCAGATTGCGCACATCCCATTTCTCCCGGATCATGTTGTAGTGGGCCTCGCCACCCCGCAGGCGCGTGGGCTCCGAGTGCACCACAATCTTCTTGATCACAAAGCCCATGCCCTTGAATCCCTCCTGATCGGAGCGGTCCTGCCACACCGTGTCGTTATAGATTTTGTGCACTCGGTCTATAAGACTGATCTGTGGGAGACATTTCAAGTTGCTATACATCCTTCCAGGCTAGAAGTTTAGAACAGCTTACCAAGTAGTTAATGGTCGTCTTTGTGTTGCCTCCGCCCATCTCCTGGAAGAACCGATAGTCGGCCACTAGCAGCAGCGGACAGCGGGTCTTGGTGGGCGTGTACTCGTACTGATCCGACTGGCGCTTCTCGCGCGAGTGTATCTCATTGTCCAGAGCGTCGTCGTCTTTGTCCTTGCTCTCCAGCTCCAGACCCTCCTTGATGTATCCACAAGTCTTTGGGGTGGCGCCATGCTCGTTTTTATGCAGCTTCACATCGGACGATTTGTATGCCACCATGGTGTCTTTTTTGGCTGCAGGCAAGTGGCGCCACGAAGGCTCAATGTGATACGTTTCGTCCGGCAAGTGTATGGACATGGTCATAGTGCCGTCCTCGATGTGGGCCCGCACCGAAGACTCTAGCTCACCAAACACGCGGCCCGTGTAAAAGCTATCATGATCTGTAAGCAAACAGCAGCCTCGCCTCAGCTGGTGGCAATTTATTTTTACCAAATTGAGTATTTACCCATATGCACCACCGTCTCGTTGCCATCAGCATCCACGGCATAGGCGCGAAATTTGCTGTGGAGGACCTCGCGATGCGGATGCAAAATCAGTCGAAAGTTTTTGCCCAGTGTCGTGAATTCCACCTCCTTGATGGTGTTGAATGGATTTTTGCTATGTTTAATAATACCTCTCTTGACCACCCTATGCAAAACATCGTCCTTGTGAAACAACTCGTAGTGGCGCAGCGTCCTTTGCAAGGCAACTAAAACACCAGATACACCATAACTCAATCGAGATACTTTGTGTGGGGTGGGGTATGGAAATGGCTAATGTTTGCTCACCGCAGTTCTCTATTAAAAGGCAGGCGAAAAAAACATAGATTATCGTAAAGCCACAGCAACTAATGCATTTTGTAAACATTTTTCGCCCGCAATTGATATTTTTCTGCATTATTGATTTTTCGGGTCGCGACTCGAGGACTCGATAGACATGCCATCAGCTGGCTTCGATAACACAAATATAGAGAAAAGGTTTACTGTACCTTGTACTGTAACTGTACTGTACCTATTCAAATTATACTCGAATTATTTTTCCTAATTTCTCTTGCTTTTCGGTGCATGGTGGCGGGGATCTGCCAAGACGGGAATGGGCGCTAGTTTATTGTCGACACCATAAAATTGCCCATTCAACGACTTCCTTCTGGGCTTGGGCATTCTTTGATGGAAATGTACAGGCAAGGCCAGTCCTATTAGATGCGATGCTATTAATTAGACGTATTTTTACCTGCTAATGTTTGTTCCATGGACGGAGATGGTTACGTAATTCTTTGGAACGTTATCTAGGAACTTCCTATACCGACAACGCAGATATTCGTTGAGGCGACAGGAAAGATTTGGCTTCAAATGCTCCAACTGATGCTCGAAACTGGGCAAGACCGCCCACCGTTTGCTTGGCAGGTGGAGAAAGTCTCGTGGTCCCTTCGCTTCGTAAATGTTTCGCTCCTGCACCTCCGGCTTGAACTCCTTAATGAGCTCGTTAATATCAAATTTGACTGGTAGATTTGTAAACGGATCGCAAATGGAATCGGACATAATGTGCAAACTGAAATTTAACTGAAATAAAAAAAAAAAACAAACAAACCAAAGGAGAGCTGCCTGCTAGACTATTGTACAACTAAACTGAATTGATATTCCACTAAATTATATATTTGGCTTATGTATTTAAACTGTTACATATTTGTCTGTGTGTAAATGTACAAATTCAAATGGAAATGGTAATAAGGGCGACACAATTTCAATCTTTAAACGTAGGGGTCAAATTGTAGTTAATAGCTCTCGCTCTAGCTCTAGCAAAGATACTTAATTTTTTAGAGCATAGTATTGGGATCTACTATTTAATTATTTCTGGAACTCGGCCATATTTGCTTCGAAAATGACCGTGTTGATCTTGTGTTTGAGGGCGATGAGGCTCTCCCGACTGGTGATTGCACGCAGCTCATTCGCCACATACTCTCCGTACGTGGAGAACTCATCGCGCGGTGCCATGCTCACGACCGACGGTGAGGCGGGGCTAGAGAGGGATGAAGTGCCCACCTTGGTTGACAGGAGGGGCGTGTTCCCTGTGGTGCTGACCTTCGGAAGTCGTATGTTGACCACAGGATTGCCATTTTGCGTGGATTCCAAAATAGTGGCATTGTGTGACGTGGTGCTGGTATCGTAGTAGAGACGCTTGACTTGGGGCGGATGCAGGTGGTGCTCGTCGTAGTACCCATCTTGGTCTCCGACGGCGGTGGGGTCCCGCTTGGGTATCTTTATGATGCGACCGGAGAGCACGTGAACCGCGTTACTGGATATGGCGGCAGTGCTCGTCGCTGGATTCGACTGATAGTGGAGCTCTCCGTTTTCATTGGCCTGAAAACTGACCGCTTCCACAGGATCCCCATGCAGATCCATGAGCGACTGCTGATTATGACTCTCGATTGTGTCGTGTTCGTCCTCGTGGAGGACATGGCTGACATACCGCACATTTATCTCTTTGCTCAGCTTCGGCTTGACCTCCATGTCCTCTTGCTCGGACTCCTCAATGATGTCCTCGTCGACATCCTTGGTCGTCTCCTCAATTAGCTTCTCCAGCGCGTTAGAGCGACTGCTGCGCTCGTCCGATTGCATTTCGATCTTTACGCGGCCCTTCGTGGCTCGACAGGCGTATGGCGAACTGAGGAAGGCGAGATTCTTGAAGCCAAACCACTTTGAGTTGTACGGCTCCTTCCGTTTCATGCGATTTATTTCTCTGTGATATTGAGTCCGCAGCGTGTGGAACTTTTTCTCCAACTCGTTTGTGGGTATGTTCCCGCCAAGAGCCTGACCGACTTCGCTCAAGAGACGCTGCTTAACATCTTTCTTGCGATACTCTTCACATGTCATGTCCCACAGGCCACGACGACACCGGTACTCGACGATGAGCTGCAACGTCTTCTCCCTGGTCCACTCCATTTTTAGCACAGCTGCCGGGCAAAACGGTGTCACTAGTTGCCGAGGCAGAACAATGGGCTCCCTGCTCCCTTTGATCAGGAAAAAACACACATTTATTAGCTATGTACATGTAAATACAGCGGCAGGCAGCGGCAGCGGTTTTTAATAGCCACAGCCACAGAATCAAAGAGTTACCTAAAAGCAGAGCGTTTGCGTCTTAAATTGGTGTGCGCACTGCACTAGAGCACTAGCTCTGGGCAATTTATTTTGGTTTTACTCCAAAACAGTTGTGGCAGCTGCAAACACAATTTGTTGTGTTGTGGGCATCCGTCTTCGCTTGTTTATTTGGTCGCGTCCACGTATCTTCGTTGCACCGCGGTCGTGTGTTTTTAGGCCTTAGCACAGTTGCGATTCCAAAGGCAGCGCAGCAGGATCAATTAACAATATTTTAACACTTATTTGTTTAATTCAGATAAAAGGCAAGCTGTCCACCCCTCCTCTGGTAAACGTAAACGCGATGCTATGTATACATGTATGCACATATCGCTACATCGATATATCGAGAAAAACGCTGAATTTATGCCAGTGTTCCAAAATGCCACTGAATGCAAATTAATAACAAACAACAAAAAAGATATATCTGGCAGATATATCGTGCTCATTATCAGTTCGGCTGGATTGTCGAGGTGAGCATTGAAGCGGCAGCGGAATTCACAGAAAATCTGTATAGTTTTGTTTTTCATTGTACATTAGTGTTTAATAACACCTATGGAAAACCACAACGTGGGCAGGCTTACGGAAGAGTCCCTTAAGCGCAAGGAGCGATTGCAAAAACTGCGGGAACAGGCCCAAAACAAAGGCGCAGATTCGTCCGAGCTGAATGAAAAATTGCCCAAGTAATTATGGAATATATAGCCACACAAAGGTCCAGTGTTTAATGAAAAACTTGTTACATTTGCAGGCCAGTTTTCCGCAGCTACAAACCACAAAATGAAAACACCATCGGGGAAGTTCTCTTGCAGGAGCCAACGGGGAACATAGAGTCCGCCGTTGAAACGCAGCTGAATTTATTGCAAGAACCTATGGTAATCGACGAGATAGACATAAGCAACCTGGCCCCACGCAAGCCAGACTGGGACCTTAAGCGCGACGCCAGCAAGAAGTTGGATCGCCTGGAGCGTCGCACACAGAAGGCTATTGCCGAGCTCATACGCGAGAGGCTGAAGATGAACCAGATCGAGGATATCAGTCAGGCTGTTAACGTGGCTGCCGCTCAGGCCGGCACTAGTGTCGAGGACGACTATGACTAGAGCCAAACTATAAAACTCAATTTTATTAAACCTATGCATCAATGGGAAATGAGAATAAATTAACGATAAGTAAAACTAAGCACATGGAATCCTAGCGGCAGTTCTCCTTGCCGCTGCCCGTTGATAAACGTTCCTTCAGTGTGAGTATCTCTGTAATTAAATGGGAGATGATATGATTACGGAACAAGCATTCAAAAAGTGATCACTTACGATTTGAATACTTTTTCTCTAGAGTGTTGGCAAACTGTCGCATGGAGAGCAGTTGCTGAGGAATTTCCTCGCGTAGCTCTTTGATTGTCTTTCGCGCTTGCCTTAGCTCATTCTCGCGCAGAGACAACAGTTTTTCTTTTTCCTGAATGGCCTTTTCCTGCTGCAGGGCCACTTCTGTTCGCCAGCCTATGGTTTTTTTGTGGCCAAGGATCTCTTGGTTCTGCTTAAGGATTATCTGATTGGCCTTGGCGATTTCCTCCGATGCCATTTCCAGCGCTTGCCGCTTTGTGTGCAAAATCTTCTTCTCCGCTTCCAGCTCAGCAGCCACGTTAGCCTTTTCCTTGTTGTTTCGCTGAATATGTTCCTGCAGCTCGACGGTGTGCTGTTTGAGGTCTTCAATTTTGTACTCCAATTTGCGCTCGTGCTTCTTGGCATTGACTGTGTCGGTGTGCAGCTTGTCGTTCTGCTCCTTTAGGTTGCACATGCGGGATTTGCAGCTGGATAGCTCATCACTCAATGCTTGGTGGCGCTTCTCGAGCTGTTCCAGGGCTATCTTTGTGTCAGATTTATCCACGTTGGCCTTCTCCAACTGTGACTGAATGCTGGAGATCGATCTGCGATGGCGTTCTAGCTCATTGCTGCGCTGCTCGTTCACCTTGGACAGTTTCCCCTCCATTTGCAGCAGCTCGGCAGAGTGCTGTTCCTCCAAGCGGCGCGTATTCTCAGCCAATGCGTCTCTGAGTTTGCTGTTTTCCGCCCCCAATCTATCCATATGCGCACGCTGGGAATTCTGTTCTAGTTGGGCCTGCTGGATGCTCTCTTCCAGCAGAAAGCATTTCTTGTGGGAGGCATCTAGCATGAGATTTATGTAGTAGAGGACCGTGTTGAGGGGTGCAGATCGGCAGGGCAAACACAAGTGTATGAGGTTCTTAAATGATCTTATTTCCACGAACTGCAACTGGTAATCGGATCCACTTGGATCTCTAGCGGCCAAGTGCAGCTCCAATTTACCCGACTGGCAGTCTTTGAGCATGCGTACCACATTGTCCATGAAGCCAGCGAAGGTCACATTCAGGGACTGATCCTGCTTCAGCTCGTGGAAGGAAGTACAGTCCACAGTCGTAATATACATGCGACGCTGATCAGCTTTCTCCGCTAAGCGCAGCTGCTGCAAAATTAATATGTTTAAAATCGGGGAGGGGGTGGTGCTGGTGGTTCGGGTTCCACTCACCATCATTTCTTTGAAGTCCATCTTTTCAGCGTACAGTAAACAAGCCTTTTTGGCGCGCATCATGTCATGTGAGAAACTGACCAACATTTCCACGCTCGGCATAATGGTCACCACGTTTTTGCTGTAATCCATATTTACGAAGCTGTCCCCATTGCTTGGCGTCGTCCACATTTCAGTTGGGCAAGATAAAATATATTAAGTTTAAAATATATATAGATTGTAAATATTGAAATTGTAAACAAAAGCAGGGCTGATAAGTGACTATCGCAAGCATCGGTGTACATTGATATATACCCCGAGCCACCACCGTTACACCACACTAGGTTTCCCTAATAAGTGCAATATGTCCATCTCTATATTAATAAAAGAAAAACGCGAAAATACATAAAAAGAAAAATAAATACATACATATGTCTGTACGTAAGAGCTAAAGATGTGGTCAGAATCGGTAAATTATAAAATAGGTTGTTTTATCCACACTGCAGACTGCGAAAGTCTTCGTGGGCAGCCTGCCGTCTGGCTGCAAACCGGACGAGCTCAGACGTCTTTTTGCAAATTATGGAGTCGTTGAGGCAGATGTTATGAATCGATGTGGATTCGTACATTTAGAGACTTCCGACATGGCCGATGCAGCCATAGCTGCCCTCAATGGAACTCTTTTTAAAGGCGTATCAATTGTAGTTGAGGCCGGCAGGCCAAAAGAAAGAAGCAGAAATGGAGCCGGCAGCCGTGTCCCGCCAAGTGTCGGTGGGGGCTCGGGGCGCAGATCCTTGGAAGGTAAGCATCCAAGTCGCACCGATGTATATTATTTTCAAATTTAAAGTATGTTTCGCACAGGTCAAAGTGGTGCCTCAAACCATAGGCGCGATGGCGGTGGGAGCGCGGGTGGTAGATATGGCAGTGAAGGTGGATTCAAATCGAATGGAAATCAATTTGGGCCCATAAGGAATGAGACAAATTTTAGACAGCAGCGCAATGCGCCATACAGCAAGGGACCACCACAGCAGACGTCGAACGAGTCCCCTCAAGGATATAGGAACAAATTCAGTGTTGGAAGTAATGGTGGAAGAAACGGTGATGGTGGTCGCTTTAGCAGCAACCGGTTTCAACACAGGGATAATAATGACGGTGCAGGATCTAGCAGTGCCAATAGAGGAGCTTCACAGGGGCAAAGGAGGAACATAAAAAACAGTCCATCGAATAACAATAACGACTTTCTTGCTGGAAACTCTAGCTTTAATAATCCGAGGGGGGGCACTGGTGTAAGACAAGACCGCCGCGGTTTCGCCTTGCCAGTGGAGCAGCAGCAGATGACCTTTGGTGTGCAGCAAAATCGCTTTCGCAATGGCAGCAGCAGTGGCAATCGCAACAGTTCCGGAGTGAACGGGTATGCCTGCTAGGGGTCACTTACGAGTTCTCTCTTAACTATGTTTTTAATTATGTTTTACTCCAAGTGCTGATCCGCAAGGTAGACGTGGCAGCTACAATGAACGCGGTGGATTTAATGCCAGACGTGGTGCAGCCAACAATGAGCACAACAGACCACAGCGTCCAGGAGGCGCCTCCAACAAGCCTGGAGCAGTAGATCGGCACGATCAGAGTGGTTTGCATGCATCATATCAAACAGAGTTTCCTCCATTGGGAAGGCAAGAAAGGCGGCCGTGGGGGAGGGGCAGTTCATCGAAACCGGTTGGTATAATTATGATGGATAAATTAAATAATTCGTATTACATAGTGCTTTCGCCTCTACAGTTTCAACGGGCCCAGACCGGGACCAAATAATATGGGCGGAAATAGAAGATTTTGAAGAGCTGCAAAATAGTTATACCGTTTGCAATGCTTCGGCAACTCAAATTAATATTGTAATAGCCAAATTTTGTTTTCCATTGTCTCGTGCGCCCTTCACCTTTAATTTAAGCATACAAGTTTTTTTTAGTTTTTTTTCATTCGCCCGAATGCAGTACTTTTAAGCCCGCATCAACAGTATATGTATTTGTTATCTGTAGCTAAGATTGTTACAATATTTACCGCAATACTTAAATAATCATATAAATTATGTGCAACTTGATACGACGAGTCAATCAATACAATCAATCACAAATACCAATTTAGTCAGTTTTGAATTTTAACAGACACCAGGGCTGTCTGCGCATATTGTTATCGGCATCGATTTCTGCAAAGCTGCGCTGCGACTGCGACTTATCAAATTTGTCATCACATTTATAAACAAAGAAATATGGCGACTGCCTAAACTTAAATTGGTTGTAAGTGTATATAAAAAAAAGAAGTCCCAAAATCTGGCCAGTGCTGAGGTTGAGGTAAGCGCCCGTGGGTGTTCAACAGTTTTGATCTTTTGGCTTAAATTGTAACCTCTCCATATGGACACATGTATATACCTTCGTAGTCGGTGTCGGACGCTTCTGACAAGTTTTGCACTGAAAATGTGGAACCACAGTCACCCTCTCTGTTGTGCCAAGGCCTTGCTTGTGATCGGCGTGATATGTGTGCTCTCATTTGGCATAGGAAATGCCGTCCACATCCCAACATATGGCAGCAGTGAAGGTGAGACGCGGCCGACCGACTCGTTGGCCACGCTGCCAGGCGAGTTAAAGTTTGCGCATGTGGTAAGTCTTATCGTTGGTCGTGTGTTGTTGGTGTTGCAATTCTGCTTTGTTTTATCATACATATTTATCGTATTTGATTTCCGTGTCAACGTATGCAACGTAGATATTTCGACACGGGGACCGAACGCCTGTGGACCCATATCCGACGGATCCTTGGAATAATAGAAAGTTTTGGCCCACAGGTTGGGGCCAATTGACCAATGTGAGTAGCCAAGTCAAGGCCTAAAAACGTAAAAATAATATTGGATTTTTCTGTTTTTCAGCTGGGCAAAGAACAACACTACGAGCTGGGCAAATGGCTGCGAAATCGATACAAATCGTTGCTGAGCTCGAGATATAAAAACGAGGACATCTTTGTTCAGTCCACTGATGTTGATCGTGCCTTGATGAGCGCGCAATCAGATCTTGCTGGGTTGTACGAGCCTCAAGGCGATGACATATGGAATCCGCACATAGATTGGCAGCCTGTGCCTGTGCACACTGTGCCCGAGAATGAAGATTCCATATTGGCCGCGAAGGCTTCATGCCCGGCATACGATTATGAGTTGGCCACGCTAGAAGCCTCGTCAGAGTTCCAGACTCTGTACGTACGATATCGCGAGCTCTTTTCCTACTTGAGCCAGAACAGTGGACGCCTAGTAAAGTCCTTTATAGATGCCCAGTACTTGAATAACACGCTGTACATTGAGAGGCTGTACAACCTTACACTGCCAGTGTGGGCGGAGAAGGTCTATGGCAGAGAGGACCTCACCTACGTGGCTAATTTTGCCTTCTCCATTGCCACGTTCACGCGCAGGATGGCGAGATTTAAAACGGGTCCTCTGCTAAAGGATATCTTCGAGAGGTTTGACAAAAAATTCAACCGTCAACTGACGCCTGATCGTTCGTTGTGGATCTATAGTGCCCATGACACAACGATTGCCAATGTTTTGAACTCTCTCAAATTATTTGAGGTAAACCATTTATTTTTTATTGTATTGTGATGGAGCGATTTATGATTCCTCCTCCTTTCACAGCTGCATAGTCCGCCATACGCAGCATGCGTTATGCTGGAGATGCGCGTGGATGATAACAACACTCCCTTTGTGTCTGTGTTCTATAAGAACACAACAGCGGAGCCTCTTCCCCTGAACATACCCGGCTGTGGCCTGTCTTGCCCACTGAAAACTCTAGTCAATCTCTACCAGGACGTTCTTCCAGGGAATTGGGAGCGTGAATGCAAGCGATCAACCATGATGATGACCTATGAGGAGGCCAACTTGGGTGCGGCGACAGGTGACGAGCAATTAAAAAATGAGGTCCCACTGGAATGTAATACTCACTGATTTGATGTTCTTTTAGGCATTCTCATATTCATCATTACGGTTCTGCTATGTTGCAGCTATGGCCTCATGATCTACTACCGTCGCCGCAATTACAATCTGTATACCTCGTATTCCCAAATGGCATAGTAAAGGAGCGATCCATGTTATATTTTACCTCGGATTTAAGAGCTGCTTTCCTGTTGCGCTCTCTTGCCACTCTGGTGTGATTTTTGTTATATGTGAATAGTATTTTTGTTCTGTTTCTCAAATCGCTTTAATCGTGTTGCTTCTCAGTTATAATGTGCATTTAAACAGCCAATTAGCCGATCATCTTGGAATGATGAGAACCTTAATTTTGGCATTAAGGATTGAGGGATAACATACTCGTAACTGCCAGCTGATGGCTCGTTGTTATTCAGTGGATTAGTAAAATGGAAAAAAAAAAAAAAAAAGACTGTGAAATGGCGATCTTGAAGTTGCATACATATGTATATACATACATAAATGCATACATACATACATACATACATACTTACATATTTATACACATGTACATTTTGATAAAAACGTTATCTTGAAATGAAAGACAGATATTTACTGTATTATAAACAACGCTCAAAAACAAACACTGAATTATCCTTTCCTTTGCTTCATGGCTGATATTAGGTGGGAAGTGAGTGATCAAAATAAGTTGCACTGCACCGCTCTGTTCATTATACTACAATTTGTTTATTGCTCCTCGCATTTGCCAGCGATTTGGCTGCGCTTAATTATGGTACGACGAGTATGGTTAAATATAGATACGATACAGTTAGGGTTACAGTTACAGTTACAGTTAGAGCGTAGCATTAAGTCTATATACAACGAAGGCTGAGAATGTAGAACCTGTTTTGGGGGGCAGCCACTGCGATGCGGCCGACTGACTAACTGAGACTGAAATGGATATATGTGGTGGACTGTGTGGGACTGTCTGTGAGTCTGTGAGAGAGAGTGGGGAAAGATGAAGTCCAGTCGATTCGATTCGATTCGATTCGAATCGAGCGTTTATCTGTAGGCCTTATCATCCGAGTATATGATATAGGGCTGATGTTGATGTTGATGCTGATGCTGCGTCAGGCTTTCTGCCCCATCGGCATTCCCAGGGACTCCCCCTGCCGCTCCCGCTCCACTGAAGTATGACATGCGGGACATGGTTGAGTAGGCGGCGGCTGCAGCGGCCGCCTGTTGTTGGTGTTGCTGCTGCTGTTGCTGTTGCTGGCGTTGAGTCAGATTCTGGGTGGACTGGTGTATGGAGGCCGCTTTGTGCGGCAGAGTGGCGTAGCTGGCCTGATACGGCGGCACCGCGTAGAGAGCGGCACCAGCTGCATTCTTGTAGTTGTAGGCCGCATTGTGGGCGCCCATGTGCATGCCGGAGGGAATGCCTATCATGGCCGTGCTCTGCTGGTACTCGGCATTGCTCATGCGCAGCCGGATGATGCATATGATGATGATCAGTATGGCTATGAAGGCCACCACGCCACCGACAATGCCAATAATGAGGGTGTCGTCGTTGCTGATGATCGGCGCCTGGGCCTTCATCAGCGGCGCCTTTGTCTTGATCTTCTTCAGACTTGGCGGTTGGGTGGGCTCCAGACTCCAGATGATCAGCGGTTCCTCAGTCGTGGAGCTGCTTCGGGTCACCAGCTGGCTGGATGACTTGTGCAGATGCGGCACTGTGGCGGTGGGTCGGGACGTGGAGGAAGTCATGCGGCGGGCGTCGCAGGTCAGTTCATCGTCGCCCACTTCGATGAGCTTTCGGTTGGCCAGAAAGGCCGGCGCATGGCAGGTCACATCGGGCAATCCAGAGTTGGGCAGCCAGCGGCGCAGAGCCCGGGCATTGCAGTCACAGACGATGGGATTGCTGGCCAGACCCTGCAGCTGCAGACTGGCCCGGCGATCCTCCAGAGCATTGAGGAACTGCGGCACCAGGACAGTAATCTTCGACCCCTCAACGTTCAGGTTGAGTTGCGAGGAGCGCGGCACGGGGAAGAGCAGCGCCGGCGGCAGGGCACTGAGAGAGGTGTTGACAAGTTTGATCATCAGCTCGCTGCTCTTGAGGCCGGCCAGGGTGCCCGACGATATGGACTTGAGCCGCTCCCCACGAATGCCCAGGCTGCTCAGGCGCGGATGCTTCAGGGGCTGGATCTGCTCGCTGCCTATGCTCGAGTCTTTCACCTCAATGTCCAGCGACTCAAGGCCAGGCAGCAGCTCGAGGATGCCTTGCAGATCGAGGTAGCCCAGCACGGGCAGATCGTACGCCTCCAGATGGACCAGGTTCGGGAGCTGCTTGAAGGCGTTCTTCTCGATTCTGCTGCACTGCGGCAGGTGGCTCAAGCGCAGGGATCGCAGCATCTCCAACTGGCCAAAGTTTGCCTGGGAAATGATCTCAAAGCTGTTGTTGGACACGTCCAGCTCTTTGAGCACCTGCAGCTGTGGCCAGGCTTGCGAGAGATCGTCCAGGCTCTGAAGTTGGTTGCCGGAAAGATCCAGCGTCTCCAGCAGAGTGACTCGCTGGAAGACATCCGGCTTCACGTGGCGCAGCTTGTTTTGCGAGAGGTTCAGGTACTGAAGGAAGGGCGTCTCCAGCAGATCCAATTGCTCGATCCCTGTGCCGGCCAGACTCAGCTCTCGGACTGTCTTGGGCTCGTTGAGGACGTTGTGCACGGCCTGGGCGGAGAGTGGGTTGAAGGAGAGGTCGATTCGCTTGATGTTCACCATGATGCTGTCGTCGCCCGGTAGCTCCCTAATCCGGTTGTGGCTCAAGTCGACCGAGGACACAAAGAAGAACTGCCGCTGCAGGGCATTGAGGGGAGCGTACTCGAAGCGATTACGGGCGAGATTTATGTTCTCCAGCATCTGAAGCTTGGTGCGCTCAAAGACGCCATCGGAGAGCTCCGACAGCCGGTTGCCCTCGAGGTTGAGATGCTCCAGACGCACCAGGCCCTCGAACGTGCGCTCGCCAATGCGATCCAGGCTGTTGTATGCCAGATCCAGGACCTGCAGCTGCGTGGAGTTGTGGAAGGCCATCTCGCTGACCATGTCCAGCTGGTTGTGAGCGACGAGCAGGACCCGCAGTCGCGGCAGACGGGCAAAGTCGAGCTCCTCGATCGTCTTCAGCTGGTTGTGGGACAGATCAATGTGCTCCAGATACTGCAAGGAGGAGATCAGCTCGGCGGGGAAGAACGAGAACTTGTTGTGTGCCGCTCGGATCTCCCGCAGTCGCGGATGAATGCGGAAGGAGGAGGGGAACAGGTAGCTCAGCTGGTTATTCGATATGTCCAGCTCCTCGATGCCGGTGCCCGTGTTGAAGTACTCTCCCTTGAAGGCCGACAGCTGGTTCCCCTGCAGATTCAATCTCGTCAGCTTCATCACATTCACAAAGGCCCCCGTGCGGATGGATGCGATGCGATTGTTGGACAGATCAATCGAACTGATGTTCCACAGGTTCACGAACGTCCCGTCCTGCAGCTCCAGCAGCTGGTTGTCATTGATGTGGATGTGCTTGAGGTCCTGCAGTCCAGCCAGCAGGTCGCCACTCAACTGTCGGATGTTGCAGCGACTCAGATCGATGACCTGAAGTCGAGTCAGGGGCTTGAAGAGGGCGCCCGTGAGAGCCAAGTGGTTGCCGCTTATGTTCAGGCTCTGAAGATTCTCCAGCTCGGCAAATATGCTAATCGGTATTTCCGCGAGGCTGTTACCGCTCAGATCGAGGGATCGCAGCTCGGGCAGCTCCCACGGCGTGCCACCCAGACCCGTGAGCCGGTTCTGGGACAGCTTCAGGGCCATCAGTGTGCCCTCGAGTCCAGCAAATGTGTCCGCATTGACGACGGCCAGGGAATTGCCGGAGAGATCCAAGGTGTGCAGGCTGCTGAACATCTGAAAGCTGCCGGGCGGCAGTTCCCGAATGACGTTCCTCGACAGCGACAGGCTGGTGATGTCGCCTGCCTGCCCCAAGATTTCTGCCGACAGGGCGGCCACTCGGTTGAAGTCCAACTGGAGCGACGTGAGCTGTGGGAGGCGCCCCAATGCGCTGCCAGGCACCAGGAGAATGTTGTTGTCCTTGATGATGAGCGTTTGCAGGCTCTCCAGTCCCTCCAAAGCATCATCTTCAATCTGTAACGGAAAGATAGATGTATTCCAAATCTCTGGGAACTCTATATAATATATGGGCACTATATATCTAGCACTGACTCCTCAAATACGACACTTACTGTTCTCAGGGAATTCAAGCTTAGGTCCAGATACTTGAGAGCGTTCATGTCCTTGAAGGTGCCAGGGGTAAGGCTGGTAATGGTGTTGCGACTCATGTCCAAGGTCTCCAGGCTCCTCACCACCTGCATGTGTGTGTAGTCCAATTGCTACGCGGATGGGATCGGATGGGATCGGATGGGATCGGATGCGATGCGATGCCAGTTAGCGGGGGCGGTAAGGAATCGTGTGAGAGAGATTCAGAGCTTACCTGCAGCATGTTTGAGGATAGATTCAAGAACTTTAGTCCGGGGACTGCTGCCAGTGCCACGGTGGGGAACTGGCCGAAAAAGTTCTCGGACAGATCCAGCTTTTGCAGCGTCTGCAACTGCTCGAAGACATCGCTGTTCAGGTGGGTGATGTGGTTGCCAGCCAACTTGATTTCCCGTATTCGCTGAAGCCCCTTAAAGGCCAGACTGTCGATGCTGCGAAGGACATTGTGGCGCAGATCAATGATCTCCAGCTGCCGCTGGGCATTGAAGGAGTCCGGCAGCAGCGCCCCTAAAAGAAGGAATTCCATTAGTAAGCACTAGTAACATTAGTTGCTTCATCTTCTATTACCAATCAGATTCTGGCGCAGGGACAGATGACGCAGGCCACTGGGACCATTCAGAGAGTTTGTGGGCACCGCCGTGAGGCTGTTGCGATCCACATAGAACTCCTTTAGGTCCACACAGCCCTTCAGCAGACCCTCCTCGATCAGTTTGATCTTGTTGCCAGACAAATCCAAGATCCTCAGGTTCTTCAGCACGTGCAACTCGGCCGAGGAGAAAATGGGATTGAGGTTATCGCCCAGCAGGTTGTTGGCCAGCCGCAGCTCGTTTAGCGAATCCTTGAGTCCATCAAAGGCCTTTTCTGGTATACGTCTGATGAGGTTGTTGGACAGATCCAGCTCCTCGATGGTCAATTTCAGCTGTCCGAATGCCTGTAATTCCGCGGGAGAGAGATACACACAATACTCGTCAGAGTGGAAGAGTGCAACTTGTATATTTTGTGGGCGCTTCCTTACCTGGGCTGGGAGAACCTGTTGGCCGCTGTAACGTTGCGTATATGCCACAATGGGGGCTCCATACGGCAGCTGGGGGGCATCGCCATGGAAGACTACGCGATCGCAGTCCATGGCCACAGCTCCGAGCTGTCCGGTCGCTGCAAACGGCACCACATTGCACCTGTAATTGTCGCCAGTCGATGATTAACAACAAACAAAGCAAAGCCAGCGCAAATCAGCGACAGTTCGCAGCAGCAATTTACTGATATTAAAATAATACATGGGGCCACAGCAAGCGGAAACTGCCTGTCGCTGATGTTGGTTTGGCGATTGGCTGCCTTCGATTG